CCCCCCCCCCTGGGGCCCCGCTCACAGGTGACAACCTCTTTGAGGTCAGTCTTGGAGCTCTTTTGACCCTTAAACTGCAGTTTTCCATAGAAGTGAGTTGATGGGTCGCCATCCAACTCCCCAACATTCCGGTTTGGCAGCTGTCATATTCCTGGTGGCTTTGACCCCTGACCCCTCACCCCTGAGGGATGGAGAGCGGTGGGGGGTCGGGGGGAGGGAGAGGAAGCCGGGGGGGGGGTGGTGGGCAGAGGAGGGAGTGCCCCAGAGCCCAGAGGGGGGTCCCCCTGACAGCAGGGGAGGACCCAGCAAGTTTCTGCCACCAGGATCCTGTTAAAGCAGCGGTTCTCAACCTGTGGGTCACGACCCCTTTGGGGGTCGAACGACCCTTTCACAGGGGTCGCCTAAGACCGTCGGAAAACACATATATAACGACATTGTTTTTGTGATGAATCACTATGCTTTCATTACGTTCAATTTGTAACAATGAAATCGGGGGTCACCACAACATGAGGAGCTGTATGAAAGGGCCGCGGCATGAGGAGGGTTGAGAACCACTGTGTTAAAGGATCGTTAGAAAAAAGACTAAAAAATTCAAAAGATCAGGCCCTACAAATGGACAGTGAACACAGGTTACAGGTTTTCCTTAACTCGCTGGTTAATGAAGGAACCGGTAGCATGTAAAACGGCATGATGCGCAGGCAGCTAGGGACCCTCACGTTAAGGGGCTAGGCCAGCGATGGCGAACCTTTTGGGCTCGGCGTGCCAGCATTTTGAAAAACCCTAACTTACCTCTGGTGCCGTGTCACATATAGAAATTTTTTGATATTTGCCACCACAGTAAAACAAAGACGTACATTTTTGATATTTATTTTATATATTTAAATGCCATTGAACAAAGAAAAACCAACCAAAAAAATGAGTTCGCGTGTCACCTCTGACATGCGTGTCATAGGTTCGCCATCACTGGGCTAGAGGGTGCAGAGCATCAGAATCCACAGTCATAACCATTTACACCCCCACTTGCTTCCCTATGAACAAGAATCGCGTGTGTGACCACCCGTCTTCCACAGTGTCCAGCCCCTAAACCAGCTCTAAGGCCAGGGAGGAGGGGACCCAGAGAGTCCCATCCCCTGGGAGCATCCGCGAGGAGACTCCCCGACTCCCACTCAGGAAGCCCCCGGGACAGTCTGCCCATTTCACAGTCCTCGATCGTTCTCAGGACGGTCCCGAGCTCGCCACACGCTAAGCCGCTCATGGAGATAACGGCGCTTCCTTCGTAAAACCCGTTCTACCCCCGGGATCACAAGCGTGACCCACACTCGTGTTCGAAACATCGAAGGACGCGAAAAGCACAAAAACAGAAACGACCGTCCCCTGGCACCTCTCACCACCCCCCCGGGCTCCCCTTCCCAGCCTTCAGGCGAACTCGCTAACATGGTGGTTGATGGGTTCTCACACGTGGAACCCACCCATCCATGTAACCAGACAGAACGCGGCCGGCCGGCCAGCCAGACACCCCTCTTCCAGGCAGTCTCCTCCCCTTGCCCCCAGGGCAACACCTCCTGACCTGGGACTGGGACAGATCCATTTTGCCTGTCTTGGTACTTAAAATATATATATATATATATATATATATATATATATATATATATATATATATATATATATTTATATTTATATATACACACACACACACATATATATATATTATTGATTTTTTACAGAGAGGAAGGGAGAGGGATAGAGAGTTAGAAACAGCGATGAGAGAGAAACATCGATCAGCTGCCTCCTGCACGCCCCCTACTGGGGATGTGCCCACAACCAAGGTACATGCCCTTGACCGGAATCGAACCTGGGACCCTTGAGTCCGAAGGCTGATGCTCTATCCACTGAGCCAAACTGGCCAGGGCTGTCTTGGTACTTTTTTCATGAAGTGGAATTCTGGGGTCGGTGCCTCTTCTAAGTCTGGCTTCTTCGGCTAAATGTTATGTTTGGGGGACTCACCCATGTGGTCGTCCCAGCCACATGTCACACCTGCCCAGCGTTTCAGCTCGTGGGCGGATCAATATTTAAAACTGACCCCCAACTTTGGACTTCTAGGTTGTCGCTCATATGTGTACGAATCATATTTTTTTTAAAAAAAAACAAAACATATCACCTTTTAAAAAACAGCATTCGGGTATTGGCGCTCACAAAACCCAGAGTCCTAGACCCTTCTGTCTGAAGGAAGCTGCCCAGACGGGTCAGGGTCCCCAGGAGGCAGCGGGAGGTGCTGCCCCTTTGATCAGACATGCGCACCCCGAGGCGAGGGTTAAGGAAGTGAGGTGCGGGCGCACCCCGAGGGCCAGGGCACAGCTGGGCCCCAGGCCTGAGTCCCTCGCGCCCCTTCCCCTGCCAGGCTGCGCCCTCAATGACTCCCCCGTGGGACTGGCTGCCTACATTCTAGAGAAGTTCTCCACCTGGACCAACTCAGACTTCCGAGACCTGGAGGATGGCGGCCTGGAGAGGTGAGAGAACGCGCGCCCCCCATCCCCACCCCCGGTCCCAGCACCCCTGCCTCACCCATCACCCTCCTCTCCATCCTCACTGCGCTGAGCCCCGAGTCAGGGTCCAGCAGAGACAGGCCTGGGGGAGCAGCTGCTCCAGGGACCCGGATTTCCTCAAGGACAGGAGGGCAGAGGCTGTGGGTGGCACTGAGTGGGGGGTGGGACCCTCCGAGGTGGAGCTGGAATTCGAGAGCACGGGTTCAGGAGCGGACTCGGGGTGCAGGTGGCAGAAGGCCACAGGGAGGACACGGAAGGAGTGAGTGTCATGGAGGCTGGAGGGTCCGGGGTACAGTGGGTGGTTACTCCTGGGGTAAAGGGTGGAAGCTGGTGGGGTGAGTGAGGAGTGGGGAGAGTAGTGGGGGGAAGTGGGGGCCAGAAGGCACAGCCAGTGGGCACCAGTGGACAGGGGAGGCCATGGAGGGCCCGGGGTGTGGGGGGAGCCTGGACGCAGGGTGGGGCGAGGGAGCCCAGCACCAGGAGAGGGAGGGGCTTTCCAGGGTCCACAGACCACGTGCTCCGACACTGGGAGCCAAGGTCTGTCTCCTCCTGGAGTGGGGGGCCCTGCGGCCGGGGGACCAGCCTGCTCTGCAGTCCCAGCCTGCAGAACAAAAAGGGTGTCTCAGGCTGAGCGGGGACCTTTGAGGGCCCATGGCTCCCTCCTGGGGTGACCCAAGTTTGGCAGGAGGCACGTGAGCAAGCTGGGGGCTGGTGAATAAAAATGCCCTAGGAGCCCGGCCGGCGTGGCTCAGTGGTTGAGCATCGACCTATGAACCGGGAGGTCAGGGTTCGATTCCCGCTCAGGGCACAGGCCCAGGTTGCAGGCTCCATCCCCAGTGGGGGGCGTGCAGGAGGCAGCCGATCCATGGTTCTCTCTCATCATTGATGTTTCTCTCTCCCTCCCCCTCTCCCTTCCTCTTTAAAATCAATCAAAATATATTTAACAACAAAATGCCCAGATCTGCTGGTTCTGCCATCCTGGTCCTGGGGCCAGACTGTGCAGGCCCTGGGCTCTGAGGGATGCCAGGAGGCCGGGTCTGTCAAGGGCCTGGCAGGGGCACTGCCATCTGAGGATGGAGCAGGGCGGCCTGTACTGAGGACACAGGAGTGGGCACCGCCTCTGAGCAGGGGTACAGCATCCTGCCACAGACCCCTGGACCCCCGGTGGTGACCAGCTCAGGGCCCTGGGCTCAGGGGCCTCCTGGGTGGAAACTCAGGGGGCGAGGAGGGGGGGAGGGACTGTCTGAGACCACCCAGGAAGACGGTGAGAACCAGCTAGCCGGCCTCCCACGTCGTGGGCACTCTGCTTTCATTCCCTGCCATCGTGGTAGCCGGTGACGCTGGCCGGCCTGTGGCACGGGGACCCCACCCCCACCGTGCAGGGAGGTCTGAGGAAGGAAGCCGGACGGGCACGGGGCCTGGCCGGTGCCCGCAGCCGAGAGGGGCAGCTCTTGTTTGTGGTCCTTCCCAGGAAGTTCTCCCTGGACAACCTGCTGACCATCATCATGATCTACTGGACCACGGGCACCATCACCACCTCCCAGCGCTTCTACAAGGAGAACATGGGCCACAGCTTCCTGAGCGACCGGCACCAGAGGTGAGTCCGCCTCTGGGGAGGGGGGGCGGCTCCCAGGCAGGGAGCAGGGGCAGGGCCTGCTCTTGAACTCAGAAAAGGACAAGACAGCCTGGCCTGCGGGGCACTGGGCGTGGAGGGTGAGGGCAGGGTGTCCCGAGAAATCCCTGTGCCTTTAGAATCAACGCCCAGAGGGACCCCCCGGGGGCCAGGGTGCTGGGATGTCCGCGTCACCCTTTCCTGATCTCATCGGAGGACCCTGGGGACAGCAGAGGGAGGGAGGGGGTCAAGGTGGGGAGTGAGGCTGTCCCACCCACCCTCCAGCCTGGGCAGCAGCCCTTCCAGAAAAGAGGGTTCTTCGTGGCTTGGAACCGAGGGGGGTGGCTTAGGACACCCCCGCGAGCCCCCCGCTGTGGGGACAGGCTGCCGGCCGAGCCTACCCCTCAGTGGGACCCTTGTCCCGACAGGATGAAGGTCCATGTGCCCACCGGCTTCGCTGCCTTCCCTTGTGAGTTAATGCACGTCCCTGAGAAGTGGGTGAAGGTCAAGTACCCGAAGCTCGTCTCCTACTCCTACATGGCCCGCGGCGGCCACTTCGCCGCCTTCGAGGAGCCGGAGCTGCTGGCCCAGGACATCTGCAAGTTCGTGGGGCAGGTGGAGCGGCAGTGACCTCGGGGCAGCCCCTGCCCTGGGGGCGCTCCCTCGTGGACACCTGTCCGTTTCCTGCAAACACCCCCCCCCCCTCGCCCAGCGCCTGCTCCCTTCTGGGAGGCGGCCCCCGAACCCTCTTTTCCGAGGAATGGGTTTGCTCGGTCCCCTGCCCACCGGACCCCCACGCGCACCGCCCCCTCGCACACGCCCCCACACGCGTGAAGCAGCACGGCTTTGAGAATAAATGATTTTACTTCTAAGAGTGGCTGGAACCAAGTGACCGGCACGCACCCCGACCCCACTCGGGGTTCCCCTTCCAGCAGAGCTAGCAGGGCTGCAGCCTGGGGAGGGGATCCCATCCACCCTGGCCGGGAGGGCAGGACCCCTGCAGGGGCACAGGACTCCCTCCATCCCCTTCCGGGTGCCCGGGCAGCTCAGAGGGGAGGCCGAGGGGCTGAGTGACGGTTGGGGACAGGTCCCAGGTCCGCACAGGTGCCCCAGATCCCACCTGGCCACCTGGCCGGGCCCACCCCCTGGGATGCAGGCGGCCTCCCTGGCTCTGCCCACCACCTGCACCCACCTGTGACTCGGGCGCCCCCTGGAGGCAGGAGGAAGGCGGTGTCTCCAGCAAATGCCCCAAATTATCTCAGCCCCGGGATCCCTCGGGGAGAAAAAAAGGCAGGGACTACCCATCCTTGCTGCCTGGGCCACAGCCCTGCACCCAGCCAGGCTCCCCCTCCCCTGCCACAGCCCTCCCCTGGCTCCCAGGAGGCCCTGAGCACGCCTCCCCCGCCCCCCCAGGAGGGAGCAGACAGGAGGAGGCGAGGACTGGAGACCCAGCCCATGCACCGGCCCTGAGAGGCACAGGGCTGACCTCACCACCTGGCTGAATGGGCAGTTTATTAGGGTTCGCACTGTCCCTGGCTGCTGGGGTGACCCTGGCCCAGCCACAGCGTCGCTGGCAACATGATACAGGAACAGAACCCTAGTGGGGTGCAGACGTGAGTGCGCAGCTCACGCCGGGGGCAGGGCCGGGTGCCCGGCTGGCTACAGAGAGGGGGGGCCGGCATGACCCCGGGCCACCTTCGCGACCCCATCTCAGGCTCTTTGGTTATCCGTGGGGCGTACGTGCGCCCAGACGGGGGCGGTGGTGCGTGCTCAGAGGGGGGTCTTCCCTGTCCCCTCTCCCTGTTACCTGGGAGTCACCACAACCAGTGGCCCCAGAGGGACACCGTTCCAACACGTGATCTCGCTACAAGGCACGGGGACCTCACCCAGCGACAGAGCTGGACGCTGCAGAAGGCGACGGGCAGTGAGCAGGACCCCGGACCCCCCAGCAAGGGCCGGGGTTGCACCCGGTCCCGCCCCAGACCCCTCAGCCAAGGGCTGGAGCCCCTTCCCGGCTGGTCTTCGGAGCAGGGGGGGCTTTGAAACGTGGACGGGAGTCCTGGACTTGGTCGGGGTCCGTGTCAAGCTGCGTCTCCACCTGCGTCGCCTCACCTCCCGGCTCCGAGCCGGGCCCGGCCCAGCCCCGCGGCTCTCCCGCCCTCAGGCCTCCTGGTAGGCGGCCGCCACGCTGTCCGCGGGGCTCTGGGCCGGGCCTGGGCCCGGGACGGTCCCGCTGATGTTGCGGACGGCGCCGTAGGTCTGCTGCAGCTGCGGGGACAGGGCCGTTCTCTCCGAGGCCAGGCCGTTCAGGATCCGGGGCACGTAGGGCTGCCGACAAAGGAGGGGGTTAGTGCTCGGCTGGGGCGGGCGTGGGATGCTGTACCCCGTTCCTCCCCCACTGTCCCCTCTCCTCCCAGCAGGAGGGGACGCAATGCTCCTGAGGGACACATAAAGGAGTAACATCAAGCCCTCGCTGGTGTGGCTCAGTGGCTGGAGCGTCGGCCTGCGGACTGAGGGGTCCCGGGTTCGATTCCGGTCAAGGGCACAGGCCCGGGTTGCGGGCTCGATCCCCAGTGCGGGGGGCGTGGAGGAGGCGGCCGATCCATGATTCTCTCTCATCGTCAATGTTTCCCTTTCTCTCCCTCTCCCTTCCTCTATGACAGCGGTTCTCAACCTTCTGGCCCTTTCAATACGGTTCCTCATGTTGTGACCCAACCATCACATTAGTTTCGTTGCTACTTCGTCACTGTCATGTTGCTACTGTGATGAATCGTCATGGAAATATCTGATAGGCAGGACGGTCTTAGGCGACCCCTGTGGAAGGGTCGTTCGCCCGCCAAAGGGGTCGCCGCGACCCACAGGTGGAGAGCCGCTGCTCTATGAAATCAATAAAATAAAAAAAGAAATAACATTATTAATTTAGGACATCAGGACCCAAACTATGCCAACTGCAGAGTTTCCGAGCAGCCAGAGCCGAACAGAAGATGCGGTCAATTGCTCGGTTCTCACGATCACCCAGAAAGCAGCACACACGCCTGCTATTCCTCGGAGGAACCGGCGCTGCCCAGCGCGGGGTCCCCGGGGGAGTCCCCACTTCATATGGAAAGTAAAGCCGCACAGGACAGGCCTGGGGGGGGGGGGGCCTGGAAAGCGAATCCACGGCGGCGGCTGGTTCTCTTCCCAGTCCCAGGCTCCCGCTGCCGACCCAGCGGCACAGCCTGCTCTGCTCCTCCCCGGACCCAGGCTGGGAACGAGGGATGTCCTGTCTCGGCCGGTGTGCTCAGTGGTTAGAGCGTCGGCCCTCGCACCGGAGGGTCGCAGGTTCGATTCCCGATCGAGGGGCAGGTACCTGGGTTTCCGGCTCCTTCCCTGTCCCCCCCCCCCCACCCCCAGTCCGTTAGGTCGGGGTTCTTGCGGGAGGCAACCAATCGATGGGTCTGTCTCCCACCGATGTTTCTCCTCCCCCCCCCTCCCCTTTTCCCTTTCCCTCTCTCTAAAAATCAATGGGAAAAATATCCTTGGGTGAGAATTAAGAACAAAAAACAAAAAGAAATAAAAAAGGCATGAGGGCCGTCCATCATCCATCTGCCCCGCCTCCTCCCTGGTCTGGGGGGCACAGCCACAGGGGTGCCTCCGGGGCACACGTCTCCCCAGAACCTTTGGACCTTCCCTGGGGCCAGTCCAAAGACAGACACTGATAAGAGGGCCTGACACCTGGGAGACAGCCGCTGGAAAGAACAGAGAAGAGTGGGGCCGCTGCCCCATCCCACACCACCCGGCCCTGTCAGTCTGGGGTCCCGTGTCCCAGCCCCACTCCAGGAGCAGGCCGACCCAGGAAGGAAAGGAGACCCTCTAGCCCAGCGGTTCTCAACCTGTGGGTCGCGACCCCTTTGGCGGTCGAACGACCCTTTCACAGGGGTCGCCTAAGACCATCCTGCATATCAGATATTTACATGACGATTCATCACAGTAGCAACATGACAGTGAAGAAGGAGCAACGACAATAATTTTATGGCTGGGTCACCACATGAGGAACTGTATTTAAAGGGCCAGAAGGTTGAGAACCGCTGCTCTAGCCAGTGCCCGCGTGCAGCAGGCGCCATGTTCACGCGCTGAACTCCACGGGGAGCCGGTCTGGGCAACGGAGGACCCACCGAGGCAGGTGCTGCTGGAAGCTGGTGATCAGCTTCACCAACCACAGGGCTGGCGACGTAGCCTCACTCAGGAAAGGCCCGGCTCTCCAGGCATTAAATATGCAGAGAAGGAAAGTGAGCAGGAAACTGATACCCCTGGGGATGGGCGTCCATCCTGGCCGAATGGATTCTCGGCTCCGTGGGGGACGCGGCTGCACAGACCCAGGTTACAGCTCCAGAGGCACCTGGGACTCCTTCTCAAGTGACACTAATTCAGCAACCTGCCCGACACACGGGATCGAGGGGCTTCTCTCTTCACGAGATGATCGAAGCCTGCCGGGTCCCCGGGGCTAGGGTCCCCGGGGCTGGGTCCTGGGGGAGAGCGTGACTTACCGTGTGCGGAGCGGGCACATGGGCCAGGGCCTCGCTTCCTTTGTCAGCTGCCGGCTCTTCCGTCTGCAGGAAACAGCAGAAACTTCCAATGAGAAGCAACAACGATCTTCCTGAACAAACCCCCTCCCAATAGGCGGACTATTAACACCCAGAATAACAGTGCCAGCTAGCACCAGGCTCCCGGCGACAGCCCCAGGGGGCATGGGGGGCGGGGGGGGGGGCCATCGGGCAGGGGGCAGGGAAGGGGTGGGGAGGGAAGCCTCACATTGCACCCAGCTAGTAAGACCTGGAGAAGTTGCTAATGTGTGAGTGGGTGGACGAGGGGTGGAGAGCGGACCCACATCTCGGCCCAGGTCCTGGCTGGCTGGGGGCGACGGGGGAGGCGCCCTTTACCTTGTAGTTCAGAGGGCTGAGGTGCTTGAAGCATCCAAAGCAGGTGTAGCCCAGGCAGACCAGGATGGTGAGCAGGAGGACCAGGAAGTTAAACAGGGTGGCAGGGGCCGTCAGACCTGGGGACAAAGGGATGCCATTCACCCTCACCCTGCTGGGGAGGGGCCCACACCTGGGCAGGTGACTTCTCTCTGGGGCAGAAAATAAAGAGAAGGCACCGCCCCCCTCCCCGCCCTCAAGCAGCTAGGACACCATGGCACCTGCCAGCTTCCTGCTGGGTCAGTTCCTTGCAGCCTCGGGTCCGGATTAGGTAGTGCAGCCCCCCCCCCCGCCCCGCAGACTGGGGCAGTCACACATCTCCCCTGCCTTTTCCTTTTTCCCAGGAGCGTTGGTTTTCCCTCCGGCACGTCCCCTCGGTGAGGTGTGAGGGTGAGGTGTGAGGGGACCCATCTGTGACTGCCTAAGAGCCGCCTGGGCCTGCGTCCCCTCTCCCCTGGCTCAGCCTCCCCTCTCCCCTGGCTCAGCCTCCCAGTGCAGATGGAGGGGCCATCCTCTCTCGGCGGCCTGGGGCAGCCCACCTGGCCTTCACCTGTTACGCTCCAGCTTGGGCTAATTTAGGTGGTCGAGCGGCACCCAACCAGCCCTCCCTGGGGGCCACATTCTGATTGGACACCCAGCCAGCCTTCACCCTGGGGGCCACATTCTGATTGGACACCCAGCCAGCCTTCACCCTGGGCGCCACATTCTGATTGGACACCCAGCCAACCTTCACCCTGGGGGCCACATTCTGATTGGACACCCAGCCAACCTTCACCCTGGGGGCCACATTCTGATTGGACACCCAGCCAACCTTCACCCTGGGGGCCACATTCTGATTGGACACCCAGCCAACCTTCACCCTGGGGGCCACATTCTGATTGGACACCCAGCCAACCTTCACCCTGGATGCCACATTCTGATTGGATAACCAGCCAACCTTCACCCTGGGTGCCACATTCTGATTGGACACCCAGCCAACCTTCACCCTGAATGCCACATTCTGATTGGACACCCAGCCAACCTTCACCCTGAATGCCACATTCTGATTGGACACCCAGCCAACCTTCACCCTGAATGCCACATTCTGAGTGGACGCCCAGCCAACCTTCACCCTGAATGCCACATTCTGACTGGACACCCAGCCAACCTTCACCCAGAATGCCACATTCTGATTGGACACCCAGCCAACCTTCACCCTGGATGCCACATTCTGATTGGACACCCAGCCAACCTTCACCCTGAATGCCACATTCTGATTGGACACCCAGCCAACCTTCACCCTGAATGCCACATTCTGATTGGACACCCAGCCAACCTTCACCCTGAATGCCACATTCTGATTGGACACCCAGCAAACCTTCACCCTGGGGGCCACATTCTGATTGGACACCCAGCCAACCTTCACCCTGGATGTCACATTCTGATTAGACACCCAGCAAACCTTCACCCTGGGTGCCACATTCTGATTGGACACCCAGCCAACCTTCACCCTGGCTGGCACATTCTGACTGGATAACCAGCCAGCCCTCCAGAGGGGGGGCACATTCTGATTGGACACCGAGTTGACGCTGTTAACGCGGCGAGGGATTTGACTGGGGGGTACGGATATGGGGATGTGAGGCCAGGGCTGCCTCCCCGCCTTGGGTCAGAAGGGGCCCTCACCCAGGCGCAGGAAGGAGAAGAAGAAGAGCCAGAAGAGGCACAGGATGGGGGCGGCCAGGGCCTGGTGCACGGCCGCGAAGTGGATCCTCTTCTCCAGCTTGGCCGGGAGGTAGGCGAAGTAGAGGTTGTGCCGGTCCACCATGTGCTTGAGCAGGATGTAGATGAGGCCTGCGGGGGGCGGAGGTGGGGGGGCTGTGAGCCGGAGGCCCGGCGGGGCCACAGAGGGGGGCTGTACATGGAACTGGGGCAGCTGTTGGACCACGTGAACCAGAAGGGGGGCAAAACGCACGTCCTGGCTGCCAGTGTTCCTAGACCCTCCCCTCCCCTCCTCCCTCTCCCCTCCAGCATCAATTCGGGGAAAGAGGCTACTTTACACACACAGGCCCCCTCTCACACTGAGCACCCCAGACCCCTCAACGCCCCACCCTCCTTTCCTTCTCCCACCCAAGTGAGCTCCTGCCCTCGGCCAATGGGTGTTCAAGGCTCTTAACCCAGGGGGCATCACACCCCCTTTTATGGCAGGTTCTACAACATGTTTTGGTTTTGCTGTTTTTTTAAAATATATTTTCATTGATGTCAGAGAGGAAGGGAGAGGAAGAGAGAGATAGAAACATCAGTGATGAGAGAGAATCATTGATCGGCTGCCTCCTGCCCACCCCACACTGGGGACTAAGCCCACAACCCGGGCATGTGCCCCAACTGGGAATCGAACCGTGACCTCCTGGTTCATAGGTCGACGATCAATCACTGAGCCCCACCGGCTGGGCTGGTTTTGCTTTGTTTGGAAAGAGTAATCCTATGCTTTAAAAACAGTACAAGAGAGCAAAACAGGGAAAACTACAACTTCCTCCTACCCCCGCCCCGCCCCCCCAACCTCAGCTCTCACTGCCAACAGGATCCTGGGTGCTGTGTTTCCTTCTAGAGTCTTCCACCTGTCAGCCAGTTCCTGATGTTTTATTTTAGTTGCAAGCCCTTGGCCTTTGAGGTCGAACCGTTCCACGTTCGAATCCTCACTCTACCCTCACCGACAGGTATCGAGTGCTTCGTCTGTGACGCCTGGCTTGTTGGATGGTGTGATCCCCCGTGGGGAGTGCGAAGGTGACTGCCGGGGGACAGCACACATGAGAACCTGGATCGTTACTGCCTTAGTGTGTTCAAGAATCGACCAAGAATAGAGTGGTCAGCCTGGCCCATGTGGCTCAGTGGTTGAGCATCAGCCTATGAACCAGGAGATCACTGGTTCGATTCCCATTCAGGGCACATGCCCAGGTTGCGGACTTGATCCCCAGGAGGGGGCTTGCAAGAGGCAGCCGATCCATGATTCCTTCATCATTGATGCTTCTATCTTTCTCTCCCTCTCCCTTCTTCTCTCCAAAATCAATAAAAACATATTTAAAAAAAAAAAAAAGCCCTAACCGGTTTGGCTCAGTGGATAGAGCGTCGGCCTGCAGACTGAAGGGTCCCAGGTTCGATTCCGGTCAAGGGCATGTACCTTGGTTGCGGGCACATCCCCAGTGGGGGGTGTGCAGGAGGCAGCTGATCTATGTTTCTCTCTCATTGATGTTTCTAACTCTCTATCCCTCTCCCTTCCTCTCTGTAAAAAAATCAATAAAAAATATATAGATTTTTAAAAAGAGTGAAGGGGTCAGCTGGCGGAGAAACTCAGACCAGGAGAAGCACTGAGTGAGGCCACAGTTTGGAAGGCCAGTGGGAGGAACTCATGAGAAGTGAATTAAATCTGGTGTCACCTGTGGCTCCTTGACAGCGGGTGGCTCTTGTGCCTTCAAGGGGTCCTCTGTTTGTGGGGCTCCAGAATGCCCCGTGACGGCCGTCTTGGGGTGCTTGGTGGAGTCAGCCACCCCCCGACCCTGGACGGGCCTCGGGGCCACTCACCAAATGGCGCGATGATGGGGCAGGTGATGCTGTAGGCCATGATGACGGTGAAGACGCACAGCATCCACGCGTACATGGCTCCGAACTCGAACTCGAAGGCCTGGTTCTGGGAGGAGGAGGAGGAGGAGGAGGAAGAGGTGGTGAGGCACTACCAGGCCTGCTCAGCTCCAAGCCCCTCGATGGCTCCAGGTGGAGAGGGCAAACCGGGTGAGAAGGACTTTGGAAATGGGAGACGCACAGCTCCCCCACCTCTTAAGGTCCTTTTTCTTTAAAAAAAAAAATGTTTTTAATTGATTGCAGAGAAGAAGGGAGAGGAGAGATAGCAACATCAATGATGAGAATCACGGATCAGCTGCCTCCTGCACACCCCCTTCTGGGGATCGAGCCCACAACCTGGGCATGTGATGGGGAATCGAACCGTGACCTCCTGGTTCATAGGTCAATGCTCAACCACTGAGCCACACCGGCCGGGCGTGAGGTCCTTTTCCTCCCTCCACCAGCCTTCTCCAGCTGCACTCCGCGCACCCCCAGACCTCCACGGTGCAGTGACTCATGCTTCCCTCGTGTCACCTTTGTCTTCACCGTGTCTCCCCAGCAGGCCCCCGAGCTCCCGGGGGGCAGTGATCCCTACGGACTCTGGCATCAGACGCAATGTCAGCTCTGCCCGTCCTGGCCTGTGTCCTGGGCTCCCAACCTGCCTGCGGCTTAGGCTGTGCATCTGCCAGGTAAGGAACCAGCAGGCCCGTCTCAGAGGGCTCTGCCTTCCCTCTCAGGGTGCCCACACGGCAAAGGAGAATGAAAGAGAACCCGTGTTACCTACTTAGGGGACCATGCCACATGCCCCAAACGCATTGACAACTGTGATCATCTTAAGGGCTTAGGCACATGGATGCCCTTCAATGAGCAATGTACTGACATTATTTGTGTGTGTGTGTGTGTGTGTGTGTGTGTGTGTGTGTGTGTGATGAGACTGGTTAAAATGGGAAAATCCAGCCTTCACTGGTGTGGCTCAGTGGATAGAGCATCAGCCTGCGGACTGAAGGGTCCAGGGTTCAACTCCAGTCAAGGGCACATGACCAGGTTGCGGGCTCAATCCCCAGTCGGCGTGTGCAGAAAGCAGCCGATCAATGATTCTCTCATCATTGATGTTTCTCTCTCTCTCTCCCTCTCCCTTCCTCTCTGAAATCAATTTAAAAAAAGTTTTTTTTAAATGTAAAAATCCACACTCTCTCCTCCTGCCGGTGAGTCAGAGCGGACGGAGGTTTATGAAGACCTGCCGCTGGCAAGCAGGGCTTGGCCCCTCCGCCCCCACAGGCGGCCTGAGCCCCTGGTGAAAGGCACTTGGCAGAGAGCCCGGCACCCAGCAGGGCTGCTGGGGAAGTGCCGGAGTGGGGACGCTTAGGGGGGGCCCGTGCGCCCGCCCCGCCAGCCCGCACCTGCTTGACGTTCCTGCGGTCGGCGGCGGTCTTGGCCATGACCATGCGGAAGGTGTAGAGGATGAGGCCCGGCAGCCGCAGCAGCTCCATGCCGGTGCCGATGAAGGCCGAGGCGATGACGTAGTTCACAAAGAAGGCGCCCTGGTCCGGCAGGAAGACGCACCTAGGGACCCGGGGGGGGGGGGGGGTGAGTCAGGCCAGCCGGGACCCGAGGCCCCTGGTGGGTGCGTGTGCAGCACCCACGTGTGCCAGGCGCTGTGCCAGGCGCTGGGAGGAAAACAAAGACCCTGCCCCTGCCCTCAAGGAGCTCAAGGAGGCAACCAATCAATGTGCTTCTCTCACATCGGTGTTTCTCTCTGTCTTTCCCTCTCTCTTCCACTCTCTTTCTAAAAAAAAAAAAAGAAAATCAATGAGAAAATATCCTCGGGTGAGGATTACAAAAATAATAATAATAATAACTCACCCCTTCCATGGTGATGGAAAACAAATAAAAGATAAAAAAGGAAATCGCAGCCAGCCTTCCCTATAAATATCTCTTTGGGAAAATCCACCGTGGGCCGATGAGTCTATTTCAGGACCTAAAGTCCAGTGCAGTCGGGGCTGAGGTTAGGTCCCAGCTCCATCTCCTAACTCGCTGGGTAACCTTGGGCAAGTTATTCAACATCTCTGGGCCTCAGTCTCCTCATCTGTAAAATGGGGATAATGACACGCCCTACTGCTAGTGGCTGTGAAGGCGAAAGGAGACCAAGAATCCAGCACTGAGCGCAGCGCCTTCTTGTTATAAGTGTTACTGTTCAGTGGGTGTGGTGCGAGCTGAAAATGCTAACAAGGACCCACGTCAGACATGAGTTGGACTCCGTTCTCCTGGCAAAGATAACCCACAGTCCAGACAACTCGTTCTGGCTGCGACGTTAATTATTACTCCCACTCCTGCCCCCTGGCACCACGGAGGCCCAGCAGCTCCTCCTCCCCAGCGGCTCAGGTCTCGGTAAATACGTTTCAGAGACCGAATGAGGCTGTGACTAATTGAGTCCTGGCCTAAAAAAAAAAAATGAACCACATGCTTTGCACACGTGGCACAGAATCGGCCGGCTCCCCTGATGTGGCCGAAGGCTCTGTGCAGCCGCCTCCCCAGCAGGAACCCGGTCGGGGAGCGGGCAAGGCCCAGCCCTGGGGTCTCCGGGAGGAAGTGGTCTGTTCCGAAACGGGGACCACCCTCCCCGCAGCGCAGCCCGAGCCCCGGGGGACATTTACTCGGACCGTGGCGCCATCACCTCCGCGCGCCCGGCTGATACTCACTCCAACCGGATAGAGGTGTCCGGGGAAGACTTGTCAAAGAGCCAGCGGAAGAAAACGTCGAGGCTGAAAGACAAACGGATCCCCTCAGAACCGACCCCCAACGCGCCACGTGACCACAACACAGACGTCCTTTCCCTCTTCTTCTAAAAACAGGCCGCACCTCCAGATCCACGTTCATCCTTTCAAATGCCGCTGGCTGCCGTGCGACACACCAGGGCCTACTGCAACAGAACCGTCCTTCCCGGAGAGAAACCACGCCAGGACCCGCCCCGCCCCCTAAGTGGACAGTTGCCGTCGTGATAAATTTGTTTTCAAACGTAGAGAGGTCCGATCTCCGGGAGACTCAATGGGCAGCACAACTGCCCTCCAGGTGGGTGTGACAGGCTTAAAAGTTGTCAGGGGTAGGTATGCATCCACTCCAAAACCATTTCCGGCCCGGCTGGTGTGGCTCAGTGGTTGAGCATCAGCCTATGAACCAGGAGATCATGGTTCGAGTCCCAGTCGGGGCACATGCCCGGGTTGCGGGCTCGATCCCCAGTACGGGGCGTGCAGGAGGCAGCCCATCAATGCTTCTCTCTCATCACTGATGTTTCTCTCTCTCTCCCTCTCCTTTCCTCTCTGAAATCAATAAAAACACATTAACTGTATAAAGTGAGAAACAAGCATAATTATATATATATATATATTTTTAAAAGGTTCCATTCTCCTGGGGACAGTACTCTCCAGCTACGACCCTGATTCTGAATTGAGAGCAGGAGGCGGCCACGCGTACCTGGTGAGGCCGAGGGAGGGCAGAATCAGCACCATGAAGATCAGGAATATGTAGACCTTGGTCATCATGATCCGGTTTTCCCCAGACCTGCAGGAAGTCAGAGGTGAGCATCCCAGCCCCGGGGTCCCAGGGTCCCCAGGGAGCCGTGTGCCCGCTGCCCTAGGGCACGGGGTCAGCGCCGGGCACTCACTTGGTCCAGTGAGACTCCAGCAGCGTGGAGTAGTAGACGATGGTCGGCAGCAGGGCGGAGAAGGACCACAGGAGGAGGGTGGGGAAGAACTGGCTGATGACTGGGTCCTGGAAAACAAGGCCCCCGGGGGGCGGGGGGGGACGGGTTGAGACCACAACCTACCGGGGCTGGGGTTTAGTCCTCCTCGCCCCCCAGAACCAACGCTGTCCCTGGTACAGGGGAGCTAGTCCACTCTGTTGGCTGAACAGACAACAACCCCTTCTGTTTGTATTTAGAGTGAAGCCAGCAATTTCACATATAATTCAAGGACAAGATTATTAAAACCTGAAATGTACAAGAAACCACCCACGGTGCTGCCACCCGACCCAAGCAGCTCTTCTCCGCGTGCACCCGCGTCCCTGGCGCGTCGCTGTAGCCACTGCTCGCAGACAGTTTACATCCTGCTCTCGTCACAAGCCCCCAGTGCCCGCCACCAAGTCTATGCAATTTTTTTTTTAAATTTGGGACTTTATCCACTGAGAAGTGGTTGTGTGTTTTTCAATATACTTTATTGATTTTTTACAGAGAGGAAGAGAGAGGGATAGAGAGTTAGAAACATCAATGAGAGAGAAACATCGATCGGCTGCCTCCTGCACACTCCCTACTGGGGATGTGCCCGCAACCAAGGTACATGCCCTTGACCGGAATCGAACCTGGGACCTCTCAGTCCGCAGGCCGACGCTCTATCCACTGAGCCAAACCGGTGAGGGCTATGCAACTTTTAATGGGCGCTGAGCATGCTCTCAGACCAAATATACTTCATTCAACTCAAGTAACACCTACTGATGAATATGTAGATTGATTCCATATATGTAATTATATATGCACATACATTCATTACGAATACGTATGAAATACAGTTCTATATTATGTATATATTATATATTATATATTATATATTATATATTATATATATAATGAATATATGTACATAAAATGTCTAAATTACTAGAAGACATTGTACTCAATGTGGCCATGTCTGCTTAGGGCTAAAAACGCAGGCATGATCATAGACGTCAATTATTCCTCGATACAAAAAAATTATTTATTTTAGACCTAACCGGTTTGGCTCAGTGGCTAGAGCGTCGGCCTGCGGACTCAAGGGTCCCAGGTTCGATTCCGGCCAAGGGCATGTACCTTGGTTGCGGGCACATTCCCCAGTAGGGGGTGTGCAGGAGGCAGCTGATCGATGTTTCTCGCTCATTGATGTTTCTAACTCTCTATCCCTCTCCCTTCTTCTCTGTAAAAAAATCCATAAAATATATTTTTAATAAAAAAAAATTTATTTATTTTAAAAATAGCACAGACATGAGCTGAGTGAATGACATCCTGGTTCGCCGTCCCCCACATCCCCTGGCCACCCCCCCGCACCCCCTCCCCACCGTGCCCTGTTGGCACCGAGCCCTCCAGGGATGGGCCTTGCAGACGGCCACACTCACATTCAGCGCGTGGATGGGTTTGGTGACATTGAACTTGTCCATGGTGGAGAGGATGATGGATGGTGTGGTCAGAAAAAACAGCACCACGAAGAGAACGAAGTTGATGCCCAGCCACTGCAGCCACCAGCGGGGGCCCTGGACAGACAGGTTCTTCCTGCGGGGGAGAGGACACGGGCCCTGGCGGCTCACCTCCCAGGACCTGGCCACCAACCCTACCAACATGCCCCTGGCTCGGGGGGGGTCAGAAAGCCCCAGTGAGTCAAGCCAAGAGACTAGCCCAGTGGTCGGCACACTCATTAGTCAACAGAGCCAAATACCAACAGTACGACGATCGAAATCTCTTTTGAGAGCCAAATTTTTTCAACTTAAACTATACAGGTAGGTACATAGTTATTAACTTAATTAGGGTGCTCCTAAGGCTTAGGAAGAGCCACACTCAAGGGGCCAAAGAGCCGCATGGGGCTCGCGAGCCGCAGTTTGCTGACCACGGGACTAGCCTGAGGGCTCTGGCGTAGGGCTCATGTCAGCCTGGGAGTACAGATGGGTTCTCTGCACTGACCTTCAGCCCCTGGAAGGTCAAAGTTTGGGGCCTGATGAGCTCAGAGGAGCTACAAGTTATTCTCCGCTAACTATTGAACTCATAATATTTTAGCATCTAGAGCAGCCGTGGGCAAAATACGGCCCGCGGGCCGGATCCAGCCCGTTTGAAATGAATAAAACTAAAAAAAAAAAAAAAGACCGTATCCTTTAATGTAATGATGTTTACTCTGAATTTATATTAGTTCACACAAACACTCCATCCATGCTTTTGTTCCAGCCTCCGGTCCAGTTTAAGAACCCATTGTGGCCCTCGAGTCAAAAAGTTTGCCCACCCCTGATCTAGAGAGAGATACTATTACGAAAATTAATTTCAACCTTTTTTAGGTTTTTTTTTACTTTTAATGTGTCCCCAGGCTAACGAAGCAGGTGACCCTTGACCTCAGGCTGCACTGTCCGACACCGTGGCCACGAGACACGCGTGGCTCCTGAGCACCGGGATGCGGCCCTCGGGCCTGGGGCTCACCAGCAGATGTCCTCGGGGTAGGCGGCGAAGGTGACCGTCCACTGGGAGATGCAGAGCTCTTTGCTGCAGGACGAGGGCTGGGGCTCCCCTTTGCACCGCAGGCCCTGGCACTTGCAGGCGTTGAAGTCCTTCAGGATGCTGCGGGGAAGGCAGGCGTGCCAGGGCCCAGCACATGGGGCCGAGTCAGAACGGGAGCCCCGTGGAGCAGGACCCTGGCTTTGTTACTGTGGATCTATTATTATAACTAACGCTAGGAGAGACAGCATGCGTGGCCCGCTATGTGGAGGGTTTCGTTTAATCCTCAGCACAACCCTGCGAGCTGAGGACTGTTATTCCCATTTTACAGACAAGGAAACTGAGGCTCTCCGATCAGGTTCTACGCCCCATCTGTCTGGCTCCGGTTTCCATGCTGCTTGCACTGCCCCCCCCACACCCCCCCACACCCCGGCAAACCCACCCCCCGCCGGGATCCTCCTGCCAGTGGCTTCACCCTTCAAGACTCTCGCTTACTTCCCAGGCCCCAGAGTCGCTATCAGAACACATACATGAGACGGGCTCCCATTCTGACACAAGATTTCCCTCCCTCGGACCCCCCTCCACCCTCACCAGCTCCTCCTCTTTCCCCCTTTGTCTCCCATAAAGTGCCCATCTCTTGACCCTCCCCGCCCCCCCCTGCGGCTCCCAAGGCTCGGGGATGCCGGGATGCCGAAGCCCCAGGCACGGAAGAGCTTTATGAGCCTGACCGCTGGCAGGCGGAAGTCCTTCGTGCAAACCCCCTCCCCAGGGCCAGGCTGCCTGCAGCAGTGAGCGCCCCGAGTGCCCATTTGTAGGAAGACGGGGAGCCCCTGCACAGAAGCAGGATGTGGGGTGCATAGCGGCTCTCTGAAGGAGGGTGGCGTCCATCAGGATGCTGGGACACAGAGCCGATGGGCCCTTGGGGCAGCTGGTGCAGCCCCGCCGCCAGGCAAGGCCCCATCCCCCGGAGAGGGTCTCAGCTAGAGTCACCCGAGCCCCGCTGTCCCCCACACACGGGCTGGGCTCCCCGAGGGGTAAGCGTGGTGGCGCCTCCCCAGCCAGACGCGGGGAGGCAGAGAGATAGGCCACCGGCAGCCCCCAGCGATGTGAGTCGGCGGTATCGTCCTCCCCAGGAGGGCCAGCGGGGCATCGGGACAGGGCGCAGAGCCCGCCCGGGAGGCCGGGACACTCACTAGATGGCCATGGACTTCTCCTGGAAGGTGACGAAGGCCATGCCCAGCGGCTGGAACTGGACCCTGGACTCCTCCTCCGTGATCCTCTCCATCAGCCGGTCCTTCATGCCCGTGTAGTAAGCGATGGCGTCCTCCTGCCAGAGGGCACGTCCCTGTGATGCCGTGGCCCCGGGCGGGTGGCGGGGACCCCAGCGCCCGGCCTGGGGGGGGGGGGGCCTCACCCGCTCACAGCCCCGCACTTCGAAGCAGCAGAACTGGCCGCAGGGCTTGGGGTTGACGAGGGCCCGCTGGCCCGTCTTCACCTGCAGGTTGGTGTAGTAAGCCAGGCTCTTCTCCATCTTCTTCCTGCAGGCGGAGGGGGGGCGGGGGGGGACGTCAGACCCTCAATCCGCGCCACGGCCCGCACCCTCCATTCAACGCTCCGTCACCCAGGACGGGGCCCAGCGCTCTGGACAAGCTGGAGGCCATCAAGGAAGGAGGGGGGCTTCTCCGGGGGGAGGGTCAGAAGGGGCAGGCCCGCTCACCCGCGCACGGCTGCTTCTCCGTGCACGCACCCCTGCTCACTCACACACACGCCCGCTCACCCACCCACACATGCACGCCCACTTCCCCGTGCACGCCCGCTTCCCTGTGCACGCCCGCTCACCCACACACACACGCCCACTTCCCCCCACACGCATGCACGCTTCCCCTACACGCATGCACACTTCCCCCACGCATGCACGCTTCCCCTACACACATGCACACTTCCCCCACGCATGCACGCTTCCCCTACACACATGCACACTTCCCCCACGCATGCACGCTTCCCCACACACACATGCACGCTTCTCCCCACACACATGCACGCTTCCCCTACACGCATGCATACTTCCCCCACGCATGCACGCTTCCCCTACACACATGCACGCTTCCCCACACACACACACACACATGCACACTTCCCACACACACACACACACACACACACACGTGCGCGCGCCGTACCTCTCCTTGCACAGGTAGATCAGCTTGGCCACGTTGTAGCACAGCTGGACCTCCACCACCTCGCATGTGGGATACGCGTCCCTGCGCCCAGGGCGGGCCGGAGGAAAGGATGGCTTTGGAAAAGGAACCCCCAGGCCGGCGGGACCCCCCCCATCTCCAAGGGCCGCAGAGCCATCGCGCTGCCCATTCCCGGGCCAGAGAGGCCTTTGTCTTCCTCTTTTAGCACCAGCACAGCCAGCGAAAGGCAGCCCTCGATGCCCGTGCGGCAGGTCTCGGCTCTCCCCCAGGCCCCGAGGAAGACATGAGGCGCCCGCCCCCGGGACTGCCCTCGGCCCGGCCTGCTCACCGGAAGTGGCTCTCCACGGCCTCCTTCGTGGCGTGTCTGGGGAGTCCTGTGACGAACAGGGTCCGCCTCACCTGCCGGAGAAACGCGCGGAGGGAAGTCACCAGGACGGGCCGGGCAGGGCCTGGGCGCTCCTCCTGGCCTGGCAGAGCATTTCCCGGGCAACGCCACGCGCTCCTTGGCGTGACCGGGGACCGAGAAAGACCCGGAGAGGGGCCGGGACTCAACAGGGCCTCACAGCGGATCACAGGAGGGCCGGGCCCGCAACTCCGTCACCGAAACGGAACCGTGTTCAGAATTGTAACTACAAGTTCGCAGCCCACAAACCTAAGGGCTAGCTGGCCCTTAAACCCTACACCCTAAAACAATCTATTCAGAAAACAAGCTGTTAAAGGGAATACCAGGTTGAAGGTTAGTTGTATGAGAGGCAACTAATCGGTGTTTCTCACATTGTTTCTGTTTCTCTCTCTCCCTCTCTCTAAAAAAAAAAAAATCAATAAACGCCCTAGCCGAATTGGCTCAGTGGTAGAGCATCTGCCCAGGGACTGAAGGATCCCAGGTTCGGTTCCGGTCAAGGGCGCATGCCCAGGTCGCAGGCTCGATCCCCAGCCCTGGACGGGACACGTGCAGGAGGCAACCAACCGATGTGTCTCTCACACTGATGTTTCTCTCTCTCTTTCCCGCCCCCCTTCCACTCTCTCTAAAAATCCATGGAAAATCAGGTGAAGATTAACAACAACAATAAATCAATAAACATATCCTCAGGTGATGATTAAAAAAAAAAGACAATGCCAACTTTGAGTTCAAACCTGCAAGCTGTGCTCCAGAGGACCCTCCAGACGCTCCCTGCTGTCATGCCAGGGGATCGAGCGGGGGTTGGGGGGCATTCCTCTCCGCCCCCCCTCCCCAGCCGCTGCCCCACCCCCGCCCCCAGCCTCACTCACCAGGCTCTCATCTTTGTACTTGATGGACTGGGTGTGGTGCCGCATGAAACCCAGGGTGAGGAACAGGTAGATCACGGCGAAGACGGTGTGCAGCCAGAGCAGGTCGTTGCTGCGGGGACACCGCCTGCGATCAGCGGGGGGACCCCAGCCCAGGTGGGGGCGCAAGGGCTGGGCTGGGCTGCCTTATGGCCCTGAGCTGAGGGACAGCGACTTCATCACAAGAGGCGGGGCGGCCAGCCCCCCTTAGAGAGAGCCCCTCCCTGGCAAATGAGCTCTCCTGGTTTCCTACAGCCCCTCAAAACAGCAGCTGCTAACGGGGTGCCCGTGCCCAGAGCCCAGCCACACGCTGGCCGCAAGGGGGCCTCGGGGCCTCAGTCCGCCCACGTGGGGCCACCTCTCGCTGACGCTGGGCTCCAGAATCCGCCCTCTCCTTGGCCTCGCCCATCGGCACCCTCAGACCCGTCCCCCGCAACTCACTCGGTCTGGAGGTTTGCTATCGTCGTCCTCCCGAAACTGTATGCGTCCTTCTCTGCGGAGAAGCACAGGGACTTAGTGCCCGGGCCGCCCCGGGGGCGGGAGGCGCACCGCCAGCCACGGGGAGTACGACCCAGAGGAAGGGGCCGGGGAACAGACGCCCTCCAGTCTTCCCAGAGTCGCCCCGACAAGGCCCTGCTTTAGCCCCAGATGCCCCCCGGCAACTTCTCACCCCGTCTCGGGGGTTGAGTCACAACCTGCCTTCGTCTGGCTTTGAGATTTTGGTGGCATTTCTCGGGAAATCAGGACTGACCCTTAGCTGTTCCGAGAAGCAGGGCTGGGAATCCCGGGGTGTAAGGAGTGGGGTTGTGGTGGCATTTGGGGAGCGAGCTTCTGGCGCACGCTTGGAAATAGAATTCCGGGCTCGGATTCTGACTCTGAGTGGGGGCAGGGAGATGTCAAACACCCTTGGGAGCCCCCCGATTCTGTAAATCTTGGGGTGTTTTTTCTCCCTCTTCCTACTTAGAACCAGAAGTGGATATTAGGCTTGGGGTGGATTCTTCTCTGGATTTTTAATCAGATGGAAAAGTCCAGAAAGCCACCCTGGGACCTTCTCACATCTGAGCAAGAGCATGAACACCCCCCACCCCCCAGTGAGCCCCTTTCCTGAGGCCTACAGCTCCCCCTGGGCCCCACACAGATGAAGACAACAGCCCCGCTGGCGTGGCTCAGGGGTCAAGCGTCGACCTAGGAACCAGGAGGTCACGGTTGGTTCAATCCCCAATCAGGGCACATGCCCGGGTTGCAGGCTCGATCCCCAGTGCGGGGAGTGCAGGAGGCAGCCGATCCATGATCCTCTCTCATTGATGTCTCTCTCACTCTCCCTCTGCCTTCCTCTCTGACATCAATAAAAATATATTTAAAAAAAAGAGAGAGAATAGTTACCCAGCAAGTTGCCCGAGAGGTTGACGGGCAGGATGACGCACAGGGACGAGAAGCTGACCACCGCCAGCAGGAAGATGATGTGTCTCTGGAAGGACAGGTAATGGATGGCGTCCTCCCCGCACCATTCCAGGATCTGGTCGTCGCTGGTCAAGACACAGGCATGGGATCCCGGTGAGCAGCAGCCCCAGACCAGCCCTCGGGGGCCCTGCACGGAGGGTCTCCTGTAACCCCTCCTGGCCACCCCTGGAGGGAACTTCTAATTTCATCTCCATTTCTTAGCACAGCAGGAAACAGAGGCATAGAAAAGCAGCATAGCCCTAGCTGGTTTGACTCAGCGGATAGAGCGTCGCCTGCGGACGGAAGGGTCCCAGGTTCGGTTCCGGTCAGGGGCCCATGCCTGGGTTGCGGGCTCCATCCTCAGTAGGGGGTGTGCAGGAGGCAACCGATCAATGATCCTCTCTCATCACTGATGTTTCTATCCCTCAAACTCCCCCAGTTATACACCACATATTAATTCATTTGAATTACCCAGAGCAGGTGTCGGCCTCAGCACCTTATAGTTGTGGAAACTGAGGCCCAGAGAAAGGGACTTACCCACTGTCCTGAAGCTACCATATTCCATCAATTCTACGCTGTCCTTCTCCTATTTCAGTGAGCATAGCTGACCACGGCTTACTGGGCAGCGTTTCCTCATTCTGAGTGCTGTCTCAGATAATGTGCATCTTACAGCAACCTATGGCCACCGTGGCACCCAGACTCACAGCCCGGCTGCCTCAGATAATGTGCATCTTACAGCAACCTGATGGCCACCGTGGCACCCAGACTCACAGCCCGGCTCCGTCCACCGCACTGGAGGTGACTGGCCAGCCCAGAGCACCCGGCGCCTCTTTTAGGATTTCTCGCCACAGGCTCCAAGTTTTGGAAAAAAATGAACATTTTTAACCCAATGAGCTGACTGTATCGAGCGATCACTAGTTCTCCACTTTTCACCAGTTTAAAGACACGTAGCACTGTCTAGAGAAGCTTCCACTCAACTAGATCCACGTTAAATACTGAGGAGAGAGGATTCCCGCCTGGAGCACAGCGGCAGCTTTAACTGGCTGGTGCAGGAACTGCCTGGGACTCCTTTGTCCTCAGCCCCCACGTACGGCTTTGAACCTGAACTGAAGGAAGTACCTAAGAGGCCCTATCTCAAGGTCAGGCCTCTGGGCCCTTTCCTCCTGATTGGCCAAACACTCAAACACACACACACACACGCACACACATGCACACATGCACAAGCACTCGCCGTACTCACTTCAGACGGAAGATCGCAGTAAGCCAGGGGCAGCATCCCTGGAAACAAAGAGATCGGGAATTAGCTTCGAGCGTGTCTGTCTTTGGGAGCAGATACAACCATCGTCGTTGACATTAATGACCAGCTAACCTTCTTCTGTATAAAAACAGCACTTTTGCCCCAAATTCAGCAAGCTACCCCTTGCCCCGAACACGACAGAGTCCGCATGCTCCCAACCGTTCCCAATATGCACTACAGGCTTGGAATTCATTCTGTCTTCCTTTCTTTCTTTTTTACAAATGATTTCAGAGAGGAAGGGGGAGGGAGAAAGAGAAATAGAAACATCAGTGATGAGAGAGAATCATTGATCGGCTGCCTCCTGCACGCCCCACACTGGGGATCGAGCCCGCAACCCGGGCACGTACCCCCTGACTGGAATCGAACCCAGAACCTTTCAGTTCACAGGCCGATGCTCTATTTGCTGAGCCAAGCCAGCTAGGGTGCAAGCTTGGAATTCTTGCAAAACCCTCTCAAATTTGCCAATCTGTGGGATTACACATGTTCCGGGGTCAAATCATGAAACTTGAGTGAACAGCTGGTGAAACCTCAGGCCCGCTCTGGAGAAACTGCTGTGGGTTTCTGTTTGTTTCCAAACGACCGAGTGAGACATGGAACTAGAGCTTGGAGTGGGATCTAGAGAAGGAACAGGTGCCTGCAGCTTGGATCGTCCACTGACACTCCCTGAAGCAGACGGTTGCCCAGCGTGACCTGTCTTTGTTTGAAGACAAATATTTGTTCCTCATTCATTTGACAATTACTAAACAGCTCCTACTGGGTGTCAGGTGACGGGCACAGCGCTGGGTAACACACGGCTCCTGCTCACATTTGGCCCAGAGACTAGCAGGCAAGTCAACAATTAACTGGCCCTGGCCGACGTGGCTCAGTTGGATGAGCGTCATCCCGCGCACTGGTAGGTTGCGGGTTCGATTCCCAGTCAGGGCACCTGCCTGGGTTGCGGGCCCAATCCCCAGTCGGGTGCATACGAGAGGCACCTGATCTCACATCAATGTTTCTCTTTCTCTCTCTCTCTCTCTCTAAAAATTAATAAAAACACATTTCTTAAAAAAGAAATAATAGCCCTGACCGGTTTGGCTCAGTGGATAGAGCCTGCGGACTGAAGGATCCCAGGTTCGATTCCGGTCAAGGGCATGTACCTGGGTTGCGGGCACATTCCCAGTAGGGGGTGTGCAGGAGGCAGCTGATCGATGTTTCTAACTCTCTATCCCTTTCCCTTCCTCTCTGTAAAAAATCAATAAAATAAATTTTAAAAAATAAAATTTTTTTAAAAAAAGAAAGAATAATGATAATTGACTGTCACAGAAAGCCACAAATATGATACAGAGACGCGTGCTAGCACCCCATGGGGATTCCGTAGCCCTCTGCCTGAGAGGCAACCAAATCTCACCATCCCAGGTCACCCGGCTGCACCTCCCCCGTGGTCTGTTCCAAGTCCAGGCGATGGTCAGTGCAGAGAAGAGCTCTCACCCACACCTGCCACCGGGACAGGAGCACGGCCGCCCTCTCCCCGCTGGTTCATCGCCGCCGGCCTCCCCTGCCCACCAGGCGCCCCCGCCGGCCACAGCCACCGCTGCCCCCGAGATACCAACCAGATCACTCTCAAAATCCTGAGGCCCTTGGGAGGAAGACGATGATGACCTCTGGAACCTGGACTCGCTGGAAGCACAAACGGAAAAAAATTCAAATACTTCTTTTTAAAAACCTAAAAAAACGCATCCCCGGTATCTTGCTGCCTCATGGAGCTCAGGACCAAAGCTACTAGCCCTCAACGGCTGGGGCGAAGCGTAACTCGCCCTGTGAGAAACACAGACACAGCGAGAGCCACTCCGAGGTGTGTCAGACAGAAAACTGCGGGGCGAGGCTGTAACGCGGGGTCAGGACACCCTCGGCCTCAGCACGAGGGCTGGTTTACCTAAAGTGACTTCAAAACGGGGCCTGTTGGCAAGGTGTTTCCCACAGAGCAGACAACACTTGGCATAAACACTGAATTTTATCCTCAACTCTAAGACGCCACTGGTGTCAGGGGCATCATTATTATGAACCACGAAGAATGAAAAAAATGCTACCGATTAAACTGTAACTAGCAATGATAACAAGCTGCCTTCCGACTTCAGAGACAAGAAAAGGCCAAAATGTGCATTTTTAACGTTGCTAAACTCTGGCATTTTAATATTTTTTTATTGATTTCCGAGAGGAAGGGGGAGAGAGAGAGAGAGAGACAGAGAGAGAGAGAGAGAGAGAGAGAGAGAGAGAGAGAGAGAGAGATGGAAACATCAATGATGAGAGAGAATCATGGGTCGGCTGCCTCCTGCACATCCCCTACTGGGGATTGAGCCTACAACCAGGGCATGTGCCCTTGACCAGAATCGAACCCGGGACCCTTCAGTCCACAGGCCGGCGCTCTATCCACTGAGCCAAACCGGCGAGGGCTGAACTCCGGCATGTTATATTGTGGCATTTTAATCAGATCCCTTCTTCTGAACAACCTGCAAGAACACCCGTGCGCTATTTGGATTTTTGCTTCTGTTTCCCTACTCCTCGCTCCGCCCTCCCACTCCGAATGGCCTAAGACACAGTGGAACTTCACTCTGAACTCTCTCATTGGGCCTTCACAGTAAGCCTGCAGGGAACAGAGCGCAGGAGAAAACCCCCCAAAAAAGTTTAGGGACTTGACCAAGATCACACAGCCGGGGGGCTGGCCAGGCCCCCTGATTTCCAAGTGCTCCACCGCACTGTGGCATTCAGCCCCTCCTCGGGGTCAATGTCCCCCAAAGCATCAGATATCCCAAAAGGCTCCCCCAAGAGTCTCAGGCTCCAACACAGCTGAAACCAGGACCCCCCCCACTCACCCCAACACTAACACCCTGACTGAGGCTTTTGCAAATGCCAGAGACTATGAAGAAAGAAATGCATTTACACACACACCCCTCGCCCCTCCCACATTTCCCCACGGCGCAGCCTGGGGAGCGAGCACGGAGGGTCTGCCTGGTGATGGCAGGGCAGGTGCTGGGCGGGCAGCCTGGGCCAGCGTGTGCTCCCCATTCACTTCCCACTGACACGAGGCCTGGGGTGGGTGGCAGCCAGCTGGCCCTGGAAGCGCCAGTGGTGCAGATGGAGAACTGAGTTGTGAGCCGAGAGCTTTCTGAGTCCGGATGGAAGCGGAAGGCCTGAGCCCGTGGTGCGGAGCAGGCTCACCCGGGGCGGCTGAGTTAGGGCCATCGGCCAGCGTGAAGCCAGGGGAGGTCAGGGATGTTCGTTCAGCCACGGCCCCACCGCCCTGCGCAGCCAGCCCCAGCCCTAAGCGAACTCGTTGCGGAAGATGCACTTGAAAATAGCCAAGGCGAGACAGAACGCCGGCGTCCTCCTCCTGCTGATTTTGAAGCCCTAACTATCTGAAGGAACACCGTTTCCTCCGCAGCCCGAAGCCAGCGAGGCCGGTGGCCACAGCCGGGCCGGAGCCTGGAGGAGACCCGGGCGTGTGGGCCTCGGCTTTCTCACGAGGCTGACCTCGCGGGTCTGTGCCGCGGACCGGACAGACGGCGTCTGGGACCAACCTGGCAGGCGTACTAGTATACGGTGAACGTGATGTGATTCCAGCATCGTGGGTGGGTCCTGCCTGCTGGGCTTCCCACGCCCCCAGGCCATCCCAATGTCTCTCTGTCTCTCTCTCTGTCTCTCTGTCTCTCTGTCTGTCTCTCTGTCTCTCTCTGTCTCTCTCTCTCTCTGTCACACACACACACACACACACACACACTGACATTCTAAGTAATATGACTCTTACCTGCCCACTTCTGACACCAGGGCAATGCGTCCGTAATCCCAGAATCTTCTCCTTATGATGGAAAACACCAATATTAAAAACTAAAAGTAGAAAAAAAAAAAGAAAGCAAGTGAAAGCACATTGGATGGCTTGTCATGAGAAGAGACAGCTGTCTTAGGGGCCAAGCCCGCCTGCCTGGCGTCAGCGGGGCGCGAAGGTGACCCAAGCCCAGAGAGGGCACCGAGCTGCCCAGGGCCGCACAGCTCAAGGCTGTGATGCTGTGCTCGCTCACACACACACACACACACACACACACACCAGGTCTTGCCACTTGTTCCCAAGTCACGAAGGCGGTCCGCGCTGCCGCTGAGCTTGCCCGAGCGCCCTCCTAGCCCAGCACGTGGGCCTGTCCTTGGCTAAGAAGGCAGCATGGGCAGCCGCGACCTCCCGAGGACTGAGCTGGCTTGGCGGCTCCTGAGCAGGGAGGTCTGGCCCCACAGCAGCCCTGGGGAGCCGCTTAACTTTCCTTCTTCACTTTACATAGAATTTCTTCCTCTTTTTTTTAAAAAGATCTATTTTTATTGATTTCACAGCCGATCAATGATTCTCTCAATCCTCATTGATGTTTCTATCCCTCTTTCCCTCTCCCTCTGAAATCAATAAAAAAAAATATTAAAAAAAAAGAATTAGGCCGAAACCGGTTTGGCTCAGTGGATAGAGCGTCGGCTTGCGGACTGAAGGGTCCCGGGTTCGATTCTGGTCAGGGGCATGTACCTGGGTTGCGGGCACATCCCCAGTGGGAGATGTGCAGGAGGCGGCTGATCGATGTTTCTCTCTCATCGATGTTTCTGACTATCTCTCTCCCTTCCTCTCTGTAAAAAATCAATAAAATATATTAAAAAAAAAAAAAAAAAAGAATTAGTCCCATTTTACAGAGCAGAAGCCTGAGGCCCAGACAAGCGACGTAATGTACCCAAGGCCACAGAACCGGTAAGTGGCAGCGCTGCTGGGATAAAAAGCCAGGTCTGGCTCCTCCCCTGAGGTCCCCGGAAGGCCCTGGGGTTTAAGTAAACAAGTGACAGGGGGAAGCAGGATTCACAAAGGTCTTACCAGGAAGCAGCTGACGTCGATGAGCAGGACAACGGGGATGCCGCCGAAGGGGACGCCCTGGAGCACGGTGCTGTTTTTGGCCGAGTTGTAGCAGTAGGAGTCGTTGGGGTGTTCCCTGATGCCCAGCCGGTCCCGGGTGGACGCCGCCTTGGACTGCCACAGGTCCAGGAACGGGGAGTCGGTCATGGCGCCCGTCACCCCTGAAGAACGGGACCAGGCGGGCGGTCAGAGCTCAGACTCTCCCATCGTTTCCCCAGCCAGCGCTGGCAGAGCCAACGGCGGGTGTCTCCTGGCTGGGGTAGGGGGTGGGGGGCACAGGGAGCCAGCAGCAAGGGGCCGGGGCGAGGAGACACCAGACCCCGCGTGCCAGGCAGTCTACGGAAAATAGCTCCATTGTGCGAACAGTCCCAAGGGTCCGATGGAGGGGGTATGGCTCCTGCAGGACACAGCTGGTACCCTCCCGAGTGGGGGGCACAGGACGAAAGGGAAGGACAGGCGCTGCATGTCTGCCTGCTTAGGGGGGGCCCCCGGGCCTCCAGCCTCCAGGACTCCTGCTGGCAAGGTCATTCCTTCCCGGGGGAGCCCCTGGGAGCACCAGTGCAGGCCTGGGAGAGGGTGGAGGGGGGCAAATAAGGAAGAGGGGGCCCCTAAGTATGCAACAGCTGCTGACCGTGGGAACCACGGGGGAGCCCCTGCTCCCACTGTTCATGGATGTCAGAGACGGGCCCATTCCCCACACTTGGAAACTGAGGCTCAGGGGCTTAACCACCTGCCCCAAGATCAAGGAGCCGGTCCTGGCAGACGCGGGTCTCAGACCCAGACTCCTGACTCACACGCTCCCGCCCCAGCAGGCAGACACCCAGCAGGCGGATAAGCTTAGCTCAGTGAGAGATGAAAGGCCTGGGAAGGGGCGGACAGAGGCAGATGTGGGACTGGAGAAGAGAGGGGAGGGGGTGGTCCAGGGAGAGGATATGGGGAGAGTCTCAGGACTTCCACAGGGACCCCCGAGTCACCCACTGTGCCCTCCCAGCTCCGCCCTCTGACCCCTGCCCCCCTGAGGACCTTGGGTCTCAGGGAAAGGCCTGACATATCCAAAGCAAACATGGACAGCTCCAGGCGGGCGACTGGCCTCTCCCTCCCTGGCTGCTGGGAACCCCGGCGAAGCTCATGAAAAGCTCCAGTGTTTGTCCCTGAGCCCGGAGGCCCAGAGCTAGAGCCCGTGTTCCGGCCTCCTTTCCAGGGACTGTGGCCGAGGAGCAGGGGACATGCTCAGCATTGCTTCCTCCAGCTCCCTCTCCCCTCCCCAAAGCTGGTTAAACCAGATTCCCCAGGGCCTCTGCTAGGGCTGGTCTCTCCACCTGCTGCAGGGACCCCAAACACCCCCAAACACCCAACGCTGGTGGCTTGTGTGCTGGGAGGGGGTGATTCCCAGTTCTGCCCCCAGGGACTGCTGGGCTGGGGACAATCCCACACAGAAGTGCAGGCAGGGTGTGTGTGTGGGGGGGGGGGGGGGGGTAGGTGCGGGTGGTCAGGGGGTGCCTCCCAGGATACAGAGGCACTTTCTCCCCAGTAAGAGCTGGAGGGAGGGTGTGGTGCCAGAACCATGGACGGGGAGGCCCATGAGAGCTGCTCTGGGAGACAGATGGTCTTGGCTCCCCTCCTTCACACCCCGCCCAGTGGCACCAGCCCAACCACACACCCAGCCAGATGCTGGGAGGCCAGCGCCTGCCCTGCTCCTGGCCCCACACTCACCGGACACCAGGGGAGGCACGGCCTGTGGATGAGCCCCTCGGAGAGGCCCTCAGGGGGAGCTGGCTCTGGCAAACCCCAGTGGCTTCGAGCCGCCACTCATTTCCTGCAGGGTCTCCTGCCCACAGGGCTACGGGCACCAGCCTGTGCAGCACGGGCTTTCCTGGAGGGACACAGACACCCGGCATGAGAAGCGGCCTCTCCCGGCCCAGCTCTGGCCTGGGCCTCGCGGACACTCCCCTCCCCGCGCCTGCCCCAAGGTCTCTGATCTCAAATGCTCACATGGACCCTGTGTCCTCCCAATGGGCGCCCTCCTGCCCTGGCCTCTCCCAGAACTGGTTCTAGGCCTGCGTTCCTCTGGGCCACCCCGCTCCCCACCCCCTCACCCCAGCCTTCCCCAGCACCACGGGGGCTCCAGCCTCCCCCTCCTCTCCTGGGGCAGGAGGCCCTGCTGGGGCCAGTGGTCTGCCCTGGGCTGTGGGGCTCATCTGGGCCCCACGGGTGGCTGCTGCCAGGGACAGGGCAGAACAGACAAGGAAGGCTTGAGAGTGAAATGGTAAGACAAGAACATCCTCATAAAATGCTCACAGAGGGAACACTGTCCCTGAGGAGCAGGGAGGGCGGGGGCCACTGGCTGGGCTGGGCGGTACCAGGGGACAGCCCTCCCCAAGGCTGCTGCATGCTGAGCTTAGGGGAGCAGAGGCCCCAAGGGAGGAAGGCACTGTGGTTCCCCTTCTTCCTTGAGCCCCAGTCATGCCTCTCAGTCCATTTCCTCTTGCCAAACAGGGTCCCTTGATAAGAAGGGCCCCGGGAGGTCAGCCTGGGGCCTGGGACTGAGCCGTCCCGCCAGCCCCTCCGGATGACGTGCCACTGAGCGCACAGCTGTGCAGGCCCTCAGTCTCCCCGCCTTTCAGCTCAGCTGTAGCCTGTCCTGCCCGTCACACACACACAAAGCCCAGCGTCTGCTGAAACACCATGGCCCCTCCAGGCAGGGCTGACAAGGGGGGGGGGGGGAGAGGGGGGGAAGAGGGGACTCAGTGGACCAAGATCAAAAGGGTGCTGGCTCAGGAGCTGAAACGCTGACCGTTCTGGGCAGGGGCCAAGCCAGCAAGTAGGCCCCGTGGTCACAGGAGCCGTGCCTGGCCGCGACCTTCGCAATATCCAGTGATCTGGTATTTGTTTGACAAGTGTATGCAAATGCCTAGCACTTATCCATGCCTCCTCCGCTCATTCCTAGCCAGGAGCCTGGAGGAGGAGATCCAGGAATTCCCGCTGAGCCAGGTGGGCAGCAGGGGACTCGCGCCCCCAACGCCAAGTTCAGCCCATGTGCCCCCCGCCCCCGCCCCGAATCTGGTTGTGGCCCGTGGGACAGAGGGCCGAGTCCAACAGCTGTTCTCAAACTTGCCAAAGAAAGCCAACCACCAAGGCTAGCCCGCTGCCCACCTGAGCTGGCCCTGGGCACACTTCACTTGAAGATCTCGATTTCTTCCAGAAATACCAGCAGAATGAGGCAGGAGGCGTGTGCGCGGTACTGGCTCTCACAAGAAGAGCGTTCTTGCCCCAGCCGGTTTAGCCCAGTGGATAGAGCATCAGCTTGTGGACTGAAGGGTCCCAGGTTCGATTCTGGTCAGGGGCACATGCCCAGGTTGCAGGTTCAATCCCCTGCAGGGGGCATGCAGGAAGCAGCCAATCAATGATTCTCTCTCATCATTGATGTTTCTATCAATCTCTCTCCCTCTTCCTTCCTTTCTGAAATCAATAAAAATATATTTTTTTTAAAAAAAGAGCGTTCTTAATATCACCCAATCACCACATTTTCAGGTTTTGTTACAATGATCGCAGGACTACAAGCTGCCGGAGCCCTTCTGCCACCGGGAGCTAAGGGAGCTGGAGCAGAAGAAGGTTACAAAGTAAACACAAGCTTCTCACAGTGCCACCCAACAGGACCCAGGTGCGGGGTGACTGTTTACCTCCACACACACGTCAACCCTGGAGTGACAAGTAACTGGCCCAGCGATGAGAGGCAGTGCGCCTGGCATCTGCAGGCACATACCCGAGACAATGCCCATAAAGCCCTTAGCCCAGGGCCCAGCCCTGGGAACACTTCAAAGCTGTTTGCTTCATATATATTTCAGAGAGGAAGTGACAGACAGAGAGAGAGAGAGAGAGAGAGAGAGAGAGAGAGAGAGAGAGAGAGAGAGACATCAATGATGAGAGAGAAGCATTGACCAGCAGCCTCCTGCACGCCCCCCACTGGGGATGGAGCCTGCAACGGGGACATGCGCCCTGACCTCCTGGTTCCTAGGTGGATGCTCAACCACTGAGCCACACCGGCCCTGTTTGCTTTGACGTCCCCTCCAGCGAATGGCAAACCCACAGGACCCCATGTAGAGCCCAGTGAACAGCGAGAGAGACCTTTGCCCCAACTCTAAACAAACAGGGGGGCACGTGAGCGGAAAGGCGGCCTGGGCTGCTTCTCATTCAGGGCAGGGCCGGGCAGACCTCGGGGCTCCGCCAGGTGTCGGAGGAGGGGAAAGGAGAGAAAGGCCGCGGGGCTTGTGGAGGGAGAAGGGAAAACTGTAAGGGATGCCCCCGCCCCGGGGTCTCTCCGGAGCCCCAGTGGGTGCCCACCACCCTGCAGGGGCCGGGAGGGCCCCCTGGCGCCCACTGCGCCCCGGGCTTGGTGCGCATGACCCCCGGCTCCGCTCCAGGGGCTGGGACACAGCCGCACAACTTCAGGGAAGAAGGAAGCTGCGGGGTGACCCGGGCAGCCACAAGGTGGACTCCCACCCGTGAGGGCACTGCCCGCGCTGAACCATGGAGGCCACCCAGGGCCCGGGGAGCCCGTCTTCCTAGCGGAGTCCTCCTCTCTCCGCGTCCCTCCCCAGCCCCCGCCGCCTCCACGGGACGGACGCCGCCGGGACGGCAGGGAGTGGCCACCGAGGGGCAGGCCGAGCCGGGGCAGCGCGGGGGACGCACACACCGGCCCTTCCCAGGCCCGCCGCGCGCGGTGCCAGGGGGAACAGCTCCAGGCTGCGCCCCGGTTGGGCTGGGGGGTCGGCTTCCCGCTGACAAATGCCCCCAAGTCCGGGAGGGCTGGGGGAGGGGGAGGCGTCAGCGAAGAGCCAGACGTCGGCGAGGGAGGGCGGGGAACGCCGTCGGGCGGCGGGAGGAGCGCGGGGCTGCCGGGCCCGGGCTGCCCCTCTGCGCCCACCCCCTCCCCACCCCCAGCTCGGGCCTGGGGCTGCGGGGTGCGAGGGCCGCGCCCCGAAACCTGACACTTGCGTGGCACCCGGCGCAGAGCCAGGTCCCGCAGGTCCGGGAGGGCGCGGGCGACACCCCTCCCCCCCGGCGCGGCGGCCCCCTCCCCCGTTACCTGCGGCGGGGGCGCAGCGCGCGCGGAGGAAGCCGTCCGTCCGTCCGCCCGCCCCCCGGGCCGGCGCGGCGCGTCCCGAGCGCCTGAAAGTTACAAAGTGAAACTCCGGCGGCGCCGCACATGCGCAGAGCGCCGGCCACCGCTTGCCCAATTTGCCGCCGCCGCGGGGCGGGCGTCCCGGTGCCGCCACCTGCGCGCGGGCCGCGCTCCCCCTGCCGTCCTCGCCTTGCGCCCCGCCAGCTCCCGTCCCGGGGCCGAGGGCGCCGCCGCCAGGGCTGATTCCGCTGCTCAGCGCCACCCCCCTGCCCGGCACCCTCCCCGCACCTCGGGGAGACCCGGGCGCGCACAGGTGGTCGCGCCGCGCGGAGGAGGCGCCGGGGGAGCCTTCGCCCCCGTTCGTGGTCGCCCCGGTTTTGCATCGGTTTCCTAGACGGCTCCTAGGCCGCCCCAGAGCGGGGGGCTCTCAGCTGCGCTCGGCACCTCCGCTCCCCGCAGTCCGCGGCCACCGGTGCCGCTGCGAAAGGCCGCGTTCCTCCGCCGCCGGGAGCGCCCCGAGGGAGGGTCCTCGGTGCAGCCGCGCGATACTGCCCGGGCCCGGGGTCACCGATCGGGCCCAGCTCGCCGAGCGCGGCCTGTCTCCCGGGCTGGGTACCGGGGTGCTTCCTGCCAACTGGACGGTGAGCTGGCCGGGGGCGCGGGGGGTGCACCCGGCAGGACGCAGGGCCTGGCTCGGTGAGGACGCGCCCACTGCGCTCCTTCTCGGGCCTCGGTTTGCGCACCTGCAAGACCCGGGGGCTGGACCGCAGCTCCCGCCCAGAGCCTTCCCAGCGCTGATCTCTGATCGGTGAATCCGCACGCACCCGTGCGCAGCTCTGCGGGTTCCCTCTGCTCACCTCTAGGCTCTCACCCTTCATTGGATGACAAACCTCTCCTTACCTCCCTGCCCAGGACCCTAGCACCAGCCTAGTGGGGGGGGGGGGGTCTCCTCCTGCTTTTCTTTCCTGTCCCATAGGCCTTACTCCTTCTCCCCCTCTCCCCCCCGCCCCCAAACCTGTTACTAACCTTTTCCCAGTTTGTGCTTGGGCTCAGCCCCTGTCCCTCGGTACCTGTGCCTGCCATCTCCCCGCTCCTGCTGCTGCCAAGGCCCCCCCACCTGACCTCCAGCGGGTTCCTGGGTGGCCCCTGGACTCCCCTGGCTCCTCAGACTGACCTGTCCACTCTCTTCACATTCCCATACCCCTTACCCGCCCGTCCTCATTCCTTCCCGGCCTCAATGGCGCCACCCTGGAAAAGCAAGGTTCTAACCCAGTGACTGGAAGCCACTGACAAGAAGGAAAAGTTAGGGTCTTTGCTTTCAGAGAGGGAAGGGGCTTCTAAGTCTGATTTCCAGTGGGTTACGTTTATTTCAAAGTCAACAGAAGTCCCAAGTGGTTCAGAGTGTGCATCTGGTAACCTTAGCCCCTGTTACGTATCACGCAGGGTGTGGAGTGCTTGTAAAAAAACATTATTTCCTAAAAGCTCCAGTAACGGTATGGTAGGCAGGTGTTTTCTCACTTGATAGAGAAGGAGATGGAGGTTTAGAGGGTGTGGAATGTACGGCTTATAAGAGCTGTGCAGACTAGCCAGGAATCCAGGGCCTCCGTACCCCAAGTACCCCAGGCCAGCTTCTGACGGCTCAGAAGCCCCTGCAATCTTGGCATTCTAAAGCAGCGGTTCTCAACCTGTGGGTCGCGACCCCTTTGTCGGTCGAATGACCCTTTCACAGGGGTCGTTGCCTAAGACCATCCTACATATCAGAGATTTACATGACGATTCATCACAGTAGCAACATGACAGTGATGAAGTAGCAACGAAAATAATTTGATGGTTGGGTCACAACATGAGGAGCTGTATTTAAAGGGCCAGAAGGTTGAGAACCGCTGTCCTAAAGTGTGATATCTAACAGTTTCAGCACTTGCTCCCCTTACCTGCCCCAACAGTTACAGGCGTGACCCACATTGCTGTAGTCCTGAGGATCAGATTTTCTTATTTGATCGCAAGTCGAATTGAAAAGAGTAAAAACGTCGACAACAGTGACAAGATTTCTGCTTCCATTCTAAGCGGACGGGCACCGGGAATCTGAATGCATGTCAGTCTTAGCTTCCTGTCCTTCTGAACGGAGACCTTGACCATGTCTTTCTAATCATGTGAACCTTGTCCCTCTAGAACAGCGGTTCTCAACCTGTGCGTTGCGACCCCTTTTGGGGGGGGTCGAACGACCCTTTCACAGGGGTCGCCTAAGACCATGGGAAAACACATCTATAATTACACATTGTTTTTGTGATTCATCACTATGCTTTAATGATGTTCAATTTGTAACAATGAAAATACATCCTGCATATCAGATATTGACATGACGATTCATAACAGTAGCAACATTACAGTTACGAAACAGCAATGGAAATAATGTTATGGTTGGGGGTCACTACAACATGAGGAACTGTATGAAAGGGTCGCGGCATTAGGAAGGTTGAGAACCACTGCTCTAGAACGTTCTGTTTCCTCAACAATGGGCAGGCTTCTTGGTAAAATATAAAACCACAGAATAAAATGCGTTTTCTTTCTTTCTTGCAAAATGCCCTCCGTACCTGAGACGAGAACGCACAACCCGTACTTGGGCCTCGGTTTGAAGCTCTGAGTGGCAGCTGGGTCTCTAGCCCATACCAGAGCTCAGCCCAGCTCCTGGGATAGGGCAACAATGGCCAATGGGCGTTTCCGCTCGTAGATTACAGAACCTACACGGGTAAGTGCTTAGATACAGTGCAGCGGACAAATAGGAAGGAGAGAGAAACCTGGATGGGCTGCCCGGTGCCCAGGGAGTCTTGTTCCTGGGGAGCGAATATTAGGAGGTGAGCTGACTGGTCAGAGGAAGCGAATTCCTAGCTCAGCAGAGAGCACAGAGCATCTGCCCATCAGCAGCCCCCGTCTCTCCTGGTACCCAGGACACTTCTGAAGCGCACACGTCAAGCCCCGCGGTGGCCGTGCCCAGCGCCCTACGGCTCCAGCCGCCTTGGCACGGGCGACCCGTCCGAGGCGCAGCTGCACTTCTGCACCCGCATGTTGGGCAGGCTGACCACCTGGGCGCGGAGCCTGCCGCCCTCCTTGATGCCGACGATCATGGGCAGCGAGGTGGTCTCCGAGGCGATGCACTGCCTCGGCCCCAGGAACGGCCACTTGAAGGTCAGGGCCTGCGGGGGCTGCTGGCAGGTGCCCACGCACTCATAGGCCAGGAAGCCCGGGGGCTCCAGCACCCAGTGCTCAGCCCACTTCATCCCCTGCAGGTCAATGTACATCTCCTGGCGGCAGCAGCGGGTGCCCTCGGTCACTGGGGCCTCGGGGTCACAGTTGCCCTGAGCTCTGTGCGGGGCAAGGAGAGGCGGGGTCAGAGGTCAGTTGGGAGGGCTGAGGTCAGGGGACCCAGGGCAGGGCCCGGTGGGGCATCTGGGAGGGAGACGTACAATGCATCTCTCATGATGTTAAAAAAGCTGGATATCGCCCTGACCGGTTTGGCTCAGTGGATAGAGCGTCAGCCTGCGGACTGAAGGGTCCCAGGTTCGATTCCAGTCAAGGGCATGTACCTTGGTTGCGGGCACATCCCCAGTAGGGGGTGTGCAGGAGGCAGCTGATTGATGTTCCTCTCTCATCGATGTTTCTAACTCTCTATCCCTCTCCCTTCCTCTCTGTAAAAAATCCATAAAATATATATATTTTTAAAAATTGGATGTGTGACAAGGATAGATAACAGGAAATAACCAAAATATAAACAATCACGTGATATTACTCCTAAGACTCAAAGGGGAATTTGTATACACTCCTCCATTCCCATTGCACCCTGAGAAAAGACGCCCCTTTCAGTTGCAGGGTAATTCTCTCTTTGTCTTATTGATCGGGGTCACCCTTTGGCCCACAGCGCTCACCCGAAGTCCCTGAGGTCCAGGGTGTGCAGCTCCAGCTGGGGCTCGTCCTGCGCGCCATCCCAAGGCCCCTGGGAGGCAAAGCGGACCAGCCTGTGGGCGCTGGAGGCCAGCGGGCCCAGGTGCTCCCGCTGCACCGACACCTGCAGCAGCAGAGGCTCCTGGGGCCGGCTCAGCTGCTGCCAGAAGTTCACGGCCTCGGTCACGTCGAAGGCCTTCCAGCCGCTCTCGTGGATGGACACCAGCCTGCGACACCAGGCGGGACCCGGGCGCTGAGTGGTGGGGGCCAGGGAAGCCCCTCCCACCTCCTCCCATCCCTCTCCCCGAGATAGACACCCCCTCGCCCCCCCTGCCCTCCCCTTTTCCTCTACCCGCCCCCCCAGCACCCCCGGGCAACCTCCGCACCTGGAGTCGATGAGGGAGGTGCGGTTGGAGCCATCGGCGCGGACGTGCAGCCACTCGATGGTGACCCGGGCCAGGTCGCTGCGAGGGGACAGCCGCTCGTGCCTGCGCAGCGCGGCCTCGGGGACCGGCTCCTGGAAGAGGCGCAGCACGGCCTGCACCAGCTCGCTGTTGGGGGGCAGCCGCCGCTCCATGCTGAGCACCAGCAGGCGCGTGGAGGCGTCGGACACCAGGAACCTGCCGGCCACCTCTGGGGACAACAGCAGTGTCAGGGTACCTCTGAGGTGGCCGGGCTGAGCCTGGGTTTCCCCAGTAACGCACAGGGAGAACCTGGGGCCTGGGAAACGGGGGGCCAGGGGCGAAAGAGGGCACCTCCACCTTCAAAAACTCCCGGCCCTGCTGGTGTGGCTCGGTGGTTGCGCACTGACCCATGATCCAGGAGGTCAGGGTTCGACTCCCAGTCAGGGCACACGCCTGGGTTGCGGGCTCGGTCCCCAGTGTGGGGCATGCAGGTGGCAGCCGATGGATGAAGTTTCTCTCTCATTGATGTTTCTATCTCTCTATCCCTCTCTCTAACAATCAATAAAAAAAAATTTTAATATTTGTTATTGATTTCGGACAATCATTTGCATTGGGGCTTGTTTACTCGCCGCGCCGCCCTCAGGGGGCAGGGGCAGCTTTAGGCCCCGGAGCAGATGTAGATGGACAGGCAGCCTTTCCAGGCAGAGTGGCAACACCAGGGTGGGTGAGGAGGGGTGGGGAGTGGGAGGCAGAGGGCCCGGGCAGTGGGATCTGGTACCAGCTGGCTCTTCCACGGGGCAGAGCGAGAGCCCCGAGTTTAACCTCATTTTCCTCTTCCGTGAAATGTCCCCAAAAGCAGAAGAGGATCAGGGACCTGTGAACAACTTTCTCAGACGCCTAAGCCCAGAGGTAAATGGGGTCACGTACAGCGGAGGGACCAGGTACCCCAAAACCCGAGACTCCAGGTTGGCAACATGAGCCGAGGTCTTTGTGCTGGGCCTCCTCCACTCCCCCGGCACCAGCCTGGCAGGGGAGCAGGTCCCTGGACCCCCAGATGGGCACATCCAGTCTCCCTCCCACCTCCATCCCCTACCCACAACCGGCCAGGGTGCAGGGAGGGCCTCACCTCGGAAGTTCTGGCTGAACCTCTTCCCTCGCGATCGGGCACCGTGGCTGCGCTGCAGCAGGGCCACGTACTGGGCCCGCACGTGGGCAGGGGTGACCAGCTGCTCTGCGTCGCTCTGGTCCAGTGCGGGCACCTCGCGGAGCTGCAGCTGCTGCAGCAGGCTGCCCAGGATCTGCTCCTCGGTCACGGCCGCCCCGGGGTGGGCCAGGGCCAGCGCCCACAGTGCCCAGCACAGCCACAGGGCCCTCATGGTGCCACTTGGAAGGAGCAGCAGAGCGGATGTGGCCCCTGAGGAGGCTCCAGGAGGGTCCCAGCTGGGCGTGCTCAGGGCCAGGCTGGGCCAGCTTTATAGCAGCCCTGGGCTGGGCCTGGGTGGTGACAGGGAGGGAGGGAGGGAGGGAGGGAGGGAGGGAGGCAGGTCACACCCCTCGCCCTCCTGGGAGCTCATCAGCCAGACAGGTCCCTGGGCCTGAGGAGGGGCTGTCTAGAAAGGGCACAAAGGCCGTCTGTACCCCGGAGAAGAGGTAGGCATCTCATTCTCCGCTCAACCTTGTCTCCCAGGGACGGAGCAGGGGTCCCTGGTGTGTGGACTTTGAGCCCGTTCCTTGCTGCAATGGAACTGCCCACCCAATGCCAGGGCTCCCTGAGCACCCACCTGCCTGCAGGGATGAGGGGGCGCCTGGGGGCAGCTGGGATGCTGGGCTGTCCATGGATAGGAAGTCCAGTGTTCCCCTTGTCAGGGGAGGGGCGGGGGCACCAGTGGGGTTTTGTCCACTAAGGAGCCACGTCCTCTCCCTCTTCCTGGCTCCTTGTGAGTCTGGATGTCAGAGTTGAAAGGATCTTGCCTCGGATCGAACCCTACATGGGCCCTCACGTGGGCAGGGGGCGGTGCACCCCCTTTTCCAATGTCTGAGCCCAGGAAACCGAGGCTCAGCCGGGGCACAACATCCTCAGGGTCACACAGTTCATGACGGATGCCTGCACAAAGTCAGGTCTGAGCTTCCCAGCCCACAGCGCTTTCCACTCCCCCAAGCGATCTCCAGCCAGGTCCCGCCGGCCCCTGAAGCCCAGCCAAGTACCCCAGTGCAGGTGGGGGGTCCGGGCGGGGGCAGGGGGCAGCACCACCCCCCCTTCCTGAGGCTTCCTCGGCCTGAATGTGGATTGAGGCCAGTGGAAGAGTTTTCCTGGGGAAATAAAACAACTGGGCAGTCAGCCAGGGCGGGTGACTGAATGAAATGGGAATGTTCCTAGGAATTGTATGTTTTTATTTGCTAAATCTGGCCACCCTCGCTGGAGGCAGAAAGGAGAAAGGACTGTGGATTGGGAGGCCGTTCACAATGGGCTCGTTAGTGGCCGGCAGGAGGGAGCCCCAGGCTTTGTCATGCAGAAGAAGGGGCGGCTCCCCCACCCACCCACCCACGCACTCCCTCCACCCCCACCCCCCACCACGCCTCCACCCCCACCTGTGTCTGGCCCAACTCGCCCAGGTCTGGTGGCTGGAGGTGGTCCATTGACCCTGGAATCAGATCCTCCATCCAGAGGGAGGAAAGGGAGGCAAAGTCATGGGGGGCAAAGTCATGGGGAGGCCCTAATTGAGGACCAATTTGGTTCTGGCCCTGAGCCCAGAGCTGAAGGGTCCATGAAGGGCAGTGGGCCGGTCAGCCTGGGGGACACTCTGCCTACAGGCGCCATGTCCACCACTGCCCTCCTGCTCCTAACAGGCCAGTATTTGACCCCAACCAGAGTCCAGGCTGCGAGGGGAGGGCCATGAGGGAACATGGGGGTCAGAGGTCACCCAGCAGACTCCATGGGGGGGTGGGGGGACAAATAGGACCATAGCCCGGGTTCAGATCAAAGGAAGCTGTGAGATTGAGGCCCAGCAGCAGATCTGCTTCTGGGTTAGAGCCCAGCATCTGGGTGTCCCCAGGGTGGCACATGTCTCCTTCGCAGCCAGGGGCAGCCACCCCTGTGGGTGCTCCAGAGATGCCCCGAGACCCAGTGTTCACCCATCAGCCTCCCCAACCCCAGGCCTGAGGTCCCTGGTTGCACCTTGGAGTCTCCCGACATAACCCTGGGAGGGCCTCCCTGATCGCCCAGAGCAGCCTGGCCTCACAACCACAGGGCCAGCCCTCGCCTGGGCCCCCGGAGCCCGAGAGGGTGGGGGACAGGGACCCTTGTTTCAGTTCCTCCAGCCCCTTCCGGGCAAGAGTGAGTCCTGGGCTCAGCCCCGGCTGTGCCACTGACTAATTATGTGGCCTCGGACGAGTTTGCCACCATCTCAAATGGGGATAAGGTGCTTTCTGTACCAGGAACTTGTCGGTAGTCATGGCGACAGTCGGCACAGCCCTCTGACACACAGTAGGTGCTTTAGAAAGAGGAGTCTCGCACATGGATAGTAACTTTGACAATGTTTCACCTTTTAAATTCTGGGTGAACGGTGCTTCTTAATTTTTCTTATAATTAGGACACAAGTCAAAAGGCACGAAAGGGTGTCCCTTGAGGAACGTCACCGCCCGTTCCCCCTCGAGTGTCCGCGCTTTTCAGAGACACACGGAAGTATTCTTCCCACCCCCCGAGTCTTACTAATCTAGCAACAGGCTCTGTACCCTGTGTTTGAAATTACAATTTTAATGCTTCATTATAACTTTACTTTTAAATGACACAGTGAAAGGTCTCTCCCTGCCCTGGCTGGGTGGCTCAGTTGGTACCCACACCGAAAGGTGTGGGTATAATTCCCTGTTAGGGCACATACCTAAGTTGCAGGTTCAATCCCCAGGTAAACAGGAGGCAACCAGTCAATGTTTCCCTCTCTCTCTCAAATCAATTTTAAACATATCCTCGGGTGAGGATTTTTTTTTAAAAAGAATTTTAAGTAAAAAGAAAGAAAGAAGCCTTAACCGGTTTTGCTCAGTGGATGGAGCGTCGGCCTGCGGACTGGGGGGTCCCGGGCACGGTTCCGGTCAGGTGCATGTACCTTGGTTGCGGGCACATCCCCAGTCGGGGGTGTGCAGGAGGCAGCTGGTCGATGTTTCTCTCTCATCGATGTTTCTGACTCTCTATCCCTCTCCCTTCCTCTCTGTAAAAATATCAATAAAATATATTTTTTTTAAAAAAAAAAGAAAGAAAGAAAAAATACCCACAGACACCAGCCTCTCCCTGGAAGAGGGACTTTCTAAAAACCATTCATCTCCATAAGCTCCACTTCCTGCCTCCTTTTCTCTTCAATTAATGAAGCAAATATTTACTTACGGTTCTACCTCTTCGATGTGTCCTGGGTTCACACCTGGAGACAAAGAGGAAGGAAGCGCAAGAGCAGGGTGGGGACCCCAGGGAAAGGCGGGGAGCCCCAGGGTACCCTCACACCCCAGCTTCAGGTGGCCCCCAGCGTCCTTCCTCCCTCCCCTTTCACCTTCAGCTCCCCTCCACCCTCAGAGGAAGGCATTGCTGACATTTGACAAAGGAAGCTCAGAGCGCTTCAGACCCGGCCCAAGGTCACGGATTGACAATGGGGGGAGAGGGCCCATCCTGGCCAATGACATTGGACAAGTTCATCACCTGCCTGGGCTTCTTTATCGAGGGAGATGGGGTGCTAATAACATGCCCCTGCGCTCAGTGTGAGGGTTCAGAGAGGGCCAGCGTCCACACCCAATCAACATCGCTCCTCTCTGAATGCCAGGGCCCCCTCCCAGGCCCTTCTCAGAATCTGGGCCGCGGCCCAGCCCCACCGGCTAGCAGGGGGAGGACCAATAACTGCCCTGCAAATGACACAGCACAGACTGAGCCCAGGACTCGCTCTGGCCCGGAAGGCGCTGGATGGACTGACACAGGGGTCCCTATTCCTCCTGCCCCCACCCTCCGGAGCCCAGGGAGCCCAGGGAAGGGCTGCCAGCTGATGCCAGAGGCCCAGCTGCTCGGGGAGATCAGGGAGGCCCTCCCAGGGGCGGGCCTGCAGATTCCAAGAAGCCACGTGGGCCCCAGGCTTGGGGTCCGAGGGCTGATGGGTGCAGGTTTGGGGCGGCCCCGGGCTCCTGGGGCTGGGCCTCGGGGCATCTCTGGAGCACCCCCAGCAGTGTCTGCCCCTGGCTGTGAAGGCGACATGTGCCGCCCTGGGTCCCCAGATGCTGGGCTCTCTAACCCAGCGGTCCCCAACCTCAGAGTCCCCTTTGACTCTGAGCCCGGGGCCCAGTTTCAGCTCCTCCCCACCCATGGAGTCCGGGAGATGACCTCTGGCCTCACCCTTCCTTGTGGCCCTCCCCTGGCAGCCTGGACTCTGGCTGGGGTCAAACCCTTGCCTTTAGGGGCAGGATCTCCACCCGCCTGTTGCAGCCCCTAGAACCCATCTCCCCACCACGTCCTCAACTCCGGGTCCGAGGTCAGCCCCCCGTCGGGCGGTGACCTTCACCTCTCCCCACTCTGCTGTTCCTCTCCAGCATAACACATGGAGCTTGGGGATGAGCCCCCTACCTCTGACCTCGGGGCCCAATCCAACCTGCAGAGGCCAGACTCCCCCAGATGCTCAGCCCTGGAATCAGGCCTCCTTCCTCTGCATGACAAAGGTTGAGGGCTGCCCTCTGCCCACCCAGCTAGCCGGTCCACAGTAAAAGTCCCAATCCACATTCGCTCTCTCTGGCTGATTGCCCGCTTATTTTATTTCCCCGGCAAACACTTGCACCCCTGGGGAATCCACATTCGGGAACGGGGCCGTGTTTGCAGAGGGATCAGCGGTCTGGGGGATTTGCCCTGTGTCTGCCCCTACGGATGCCCGCCCTACACCCATCTCCTGTAGGAAGGGGTCTCGCCAGCTCTCAGACCCCCGGCCAGCAGCCTGTGCAAACAGCCAGGGGTCTTGTTCCTCCTAAGAGACCCTGCCCAGTCTCAGGGCTTCGCGGGCCCTTCATTCCTGATGACTCCAGCCTGAGCCTCCACTGGGCACCGGAACTGCGCCCAACTGCCCTCCACCCCCACCCGCTCCCCCTCAGTAAGTGGCTCCACCCCACTCCCAGCCAGGCCTCCAGACCTACAGGTCACTCTGTGTTGTGTTTTGCATTTAATATATTTTTATTGATGTCAGAGAGGAAGGGAGAGGGAGAGAGAGACAGAAACATCAATGAAGAGAGAGAATCATGGATCGGCTGCCTCCTCACACTGGGGATCGAGCCTGAAACCCCGGGCATGTGGCCTGACCAGGAATCAAACTGTGACCTCCTGCTTCATAGGTTGATACTTAACCACTGAGCCACACCAGCTGGGCTAGGGGTCATTCTTTTGTTTTTTAATATATTTTTATTGATTTCAGCAAGGAAGTGAGAGGGGGAGAGAGATAGAAACATCAATGATGAGAGAGTATCATTGATCGGCTGCCTCCTGCAAGCCCCCTACTGGGGATCGAGCCCACAACCCAAGCATGTGCCCTGACCGGAATCAAACCCGGGACCTTCCAGTCCGCAGCCCGACGCCCTATCCATTGAGCAACCCAGCGAGAAGTAGGGGTCACTTGGTTCCTAGGGGCCTGGCCTCCCTCATGGGGCTTGGGGACAGGGCAGGGCAGGCAGAGGCAGCCCGAAGGGAACTCTGGGGCGGGAGTCTCGAGGCCTGGATTGGACCTGGCTCAGTCGCCAGCTCATACGAGGATACTTCTGTGCCCTGGGCCCGAGGGACAGAGGCCCTACGGTTCCAAAAATGAGGCTCCGTCCCCAGCCTTAAAAACAAACACAGTTATGACTCACAGATTCCGTGAGTCAGGAGGCAGCACAGCTTCGCTGCGTCCTCTGTGGGGCCTCACAGGCCACCGTCCAGGTGTCAGCCAGGGCTGGGGCAGGAGCCACGCCTGTGCTCCCGCGGGCTGTTGGCAGAATCCGTGTCCTTGCGGTTGGTTGCAGGACCGCAAGGTCAAAGCGCCCTGGCTTCTGGCTGCCCTCAACCCTTGAGGCCGCCTGCAGGTCCTGGACACGGGGTGTCCCCTTTGTGGATGATGCTCCAGTATCCTTTCCCTTTTGGGGAAAGAAAGCTGCAGAATGGGCAGAGAAAGGATCTTACTATTGGGGGGCCCCTTGCTCTTCCTGGACCCCACAGCTCAGACCAGGCAGGTGCTGGCGCCATTGAGGCCGGGAAGGAATGAGGACTCGGGGAGGGGGTGTGGGAGTGTGAAGAGAGTGGACAGGACAGTCTGAGGAGCCAGGGGAGTCCAGGGGCCGCCCCAGAAACCTGCTGGAGGTCACGCGGGGGGGAGGGGGGCTTGTCAGCAGGAGGCAGCAGCAGGAGAGGAGAGATGGCAGGCCCAGGTGCGTAGGGACAGGGGCTGAGCCCGGGGCCAAGGGCAAACTGGGAAATGGTTAGTAGCTGAGGTTTGGGGGGGTGGGGGGAGGAGGAAGCCCGATAGAACAGAAAAGAACTGTCAGAGAAGCAGGAGGAGACCCTCCCGACCCCCAATCCCCCACCCCCACCCCGGCCTCCCGTGAGCCACAGGCTGGTGCTAGGGTCCTGGGCAGGCAGGTAAGAAGAGGTTTGTCATCGCAATAAAGGATGAGAGCCTAGAGATGGATCAGAGGGCAGAGCCGCACACGTGTGCGTGCGGATTCACTGATTTAGTGCTGGGAAGGCTCTGGGAGGAAGCTTGGGTCCAGCCCATTTCACAGATGGGAAAACCAAGGCTGCGGAGGTAGCCCTACGTATTGACGGCAGAGCCGGGCTGGAGTGGAATGTCTAGGTGACCAGATCGCCCCCATTTCCAGCTCCAGGCCCACTGAGCCCCTCTCGCCACCCCGCCTGTTCTGTGCGGTGGGCCCCCGAGGCTTTCCTTTGAGAGAACAAAAATCAAATTAAGAAGCTGACTCTCTCGGGCTCAGCCCGGGAGGCCCTGCCGCCTTGAATCAGTAATTAAACATGGAAGAGCCTGTCAGGGGAGGGAGGGAGCTGCTCCCAGGGCTGCTGGGGGACCAGCCTCTCCTCTCCCAGCCCAGGGGCCCCTGAAAGCTGCTGGGGGGCAGGTTGGAGGCCCCACCTCGGATCCAGTAACAGGACCCGGCCTTTTCCCATCCCACAGGCCAGGGGCCCTGGGTCCCTGGCGGCAGCAGCTCTAGTAGATTCTAGAGGGGGCAGCACGAGCAAAGAAAGAGAACAGAACTGGCCCCTTCGGAGACGGGCGGGCACAGAGCGTTCACAGAGGGGCCCAGATGTGGTCAGTGGTAGCCAAGACCCACTATGCACCAGGTCTGGGTGGGGCGTGAAGCAGACCGTATGCACTGATGGGAGGACACACCTGGAGACTCTGCTTCCCCGTGGCCTGGACTCCCAGCTGGTCATGGTCCTGCAGTAGGAGCCGCCGCCCCCGCCCCCCCCCGCCCCCCGCCAAAGCCCCCATGAGGAAGGCCAGGCCCCTGGTGGGATAGGAATCCAGAGTGACCCCTAGCCTTAGCTGGTTTGGCTCAGTGGATAGAACGCTGGACTGCGGACTGGAAGGTCCCGGGTTCGATTCCGGTCAAGGGCACATGCCCGGGTTGCTGGCTCCATCCCCAGTGTGGGGCGTTCAGGAGGCAGCCGATCAATGATACTCTCTCATCATTGATGTTTCTCTCTCTCTCTCCGCTCCTTTCTGAAATCAATAAAGATATATTAAAAAAACACACAGAGTGCCGAAACCGGTTTGGCTCAGTGGATAGAGCGTCGGCCTGCGGACTGAAAGGTCCTGGGTTCGATTCCGGTCAAGGGCATGTACCTGGGTTATGGGCACATCCCCAGTGGGGGGTGTGCAGGAGGCAGCTGATCAATGTTTCTCTCCCATCGATGTTTCTAACGCTCTATCTCTCTCCCTTCCTCTCTGTAAAAAATCAATAAAATATATTTTAAAAAAAAAACACACACACACACAGAGTGACCTGTAGGTCTGGAGGCCTGGCTGGGAGTGGGGTGGAGCCACTTACTGAGGGGGAGCGGGTGGGGGTGGAAGGGCAGTTGGGCGCAGTTCCGGTGCCCAGTGGAGGCTCAGGCTGGAGTCATCAGGAATGAAGGGCCCGCGAAGCCCTGAGACAGGGCAGGGTCTCTTAGGAGAGAGGCCTACAGAGAAAGCAACCTGCCGACACCTTGACCTCAGATCTCCAGCCTCTGTGAGAAATCAATGCCTGCTGCTTAAGCAGCCCGAGCTGCTCTTCCCACACAGGTGCCCCCGAAGCTCTCATATGCGGGGCCAGGTTGCAAATCCACACCTGGGCCTGCAGCCTCTGTCCCCACCTGCTCCCTTCCCCGTATCGCGTCTGTTTGCTTCATTAGCTCGACAATCCCCCAAGCACTGACTCACCGATAGCCACTGTGGTCTGCAGAGGAGCTGGGCTTATCGGCTGCTTATCCGCATAAACAAATCGGTTTTTACACAATCAATTACGATATACAGGGATGTGTAGGGGGGAGGGGGGTCCTTACGCCTCGTGGATTACCCTCCTCCACTGGCCTGTCTCCTCTGACACCCAGCTGGCTGCAAGACTGTCCGCAAGGCTTCCAGAGTTTTCTTTCTTCGGCAAAACCAGGCCTGATCCCTCCCAGCTTAACCCCCTCCTGGGGCTGCACCTGCCTTCCATCCAACAGGCCCAGTCCCCCTGCACATGGTCAGCCTCACCCGGGCCTTCCTGCCTCCTGTCCTCCCCACCCCCACTCCCCGCCCAGCCACCTCCCTGCCTGCCAGCACACACTTCCTTGGGCATCAGCCCCACCCTCAATGCCCAGGAGTCCCTCCTGAGCCCACCCTGGCCCGTTACCACCTCTTTCTTATCTGGAAAACTCACCATAACTCTCAAGAGCTGTCTTCCCCGAGTCCTCCTGAACCCTTCCTCTCTGCTCCCCCAAGTAGTGCCTCCATCCGAGCCCTTATCAGCTTGCAGGGTGGACTCTGCAGCAACATCTGTCATCGCAGTCTCCCCACAACCCCGCCCCCGGGGCAGGAGAGGCTGGTGTCTAGCACACAGGGCGGCTCCATGTTTGCGGGCTGAGTGAATGCACGGACGAATGCACGTGAGCAGGGCTGTCAGGTGCTTCTCACACCTCATCCGTGCAATCCTCACGCGGCTGAACAAGTACCGGCTTGTAGGAAGGCCGGCTTCTCTCTCCACCCTCCCTACCTCCCTGCCTCCCTCGACCCCTGGGCCTTCTCTTGACCTGGGCCTCCATTTCCCACGGAGGGTCCTGACACATGAGGAAATGGCATTTTATGTGCCCATAATAAGATCTAAATAAATACACATCCATTGACAATCATCTCGGCTTTTCACCTGTCTCCCTGGACACCCGGGAATGTTGGCTTCAGGCCACAATCAGCTCCATTCAATTTAACAAGCGACGTTGTTCTCCCGCGGCCCCCCCCCCCCCCCTGCCGCCCCCGTCCTGCCAGGTGGTGGCTCTCGCCCCTGGCTGAGGGGCAGACGCTCTGGGCGGGATTTAGGTGGGAGGCGAGGATCTGCCACACTTAGAGAGGCCAGAAAGGCAAGGCGGCGTTTCCAGGGGAGGCAATGGGGTGAGCAGAAACAGTGGGGAGCGTACAGTTAGGGTATGTCTGGGGTCCAGACAGGGAGCGTTTTGGAGAGCTGAGGGTAATAAGATTGGAAAGAGAGCTCAATACATGCATTTCCTCTCCATTTCCCTTCCTTTAAAAGATTTTGAGCCCGGCCGGTATGGCTCAGTGGTTGAGTGCGACCCATGAACCAACAGGTCCCTGGTTCCATTCCCGATCAGGTCACATGCCTAGGTTGCCAGCTTCATCCCCAGTAGGGGGCGTGGAGGAGGCAGCCCATCAATGTTTCTCTCTCATTGATGTTTCTATCCCTCTATCCCTCTCCCTTCCTCTCTAAAATCAATAAAAAATTTTTTGAGAACCGGGTCTGGAGCCAGGGATGCCCGGGGACAGGGCTCACATGACCCAGACCAGAGCTCTGGCTCCACCCGGCCCTCCCAGCCCCCTTCTCTGAGCCCCCAGCTCCTTAGCGATGCCCATAAAATCCTCGGTCTCCACACCCCTCCTCACTCCATCCTCCCCTCCCGCCAGACAGCAGCCCAGCCCTAAGCTCTCCTGATCCCGGCTCAGCCCCTCCAGGCGGGGTGGGTGGGGAGGGGACGGCCATTGTCTTCATTTGCAGGTAAGTTCCTGGAGGGTAAGTAGGTAGGTAGCCCAAGGTCAAGTGACCAGTGACACATCTGACTTTCAAGCCTCTTGAGCAAGACTGGCCTTACCCATCAGACGACCTAGGAGACCATGAGACTCCTCTTCCTCAGCCCCGGACGCCCGGGAGGGCCCAGGTGTGGGGGCAGCCAGGAGGGTGGCCGCCCACCTTGCCCTCCTGGGATGGCCAAGAGGATGGCGAAGGGCAGAGGGGAAGCGCTGTCCCCCCAGAAAAGATCCCCATTGCTAACCAACGCTAAGCTGCTCTGCTTTGTGAACACACGGATCACCTGCCACAGCTGGCACACGGGGCACCCAGCTGGGTAGGGTTTCTCCCCTGGACCCCGCACCCTGGCTGCTGTAGCCCGCTGGTGGGCCTGGGGCCCTCACTGGTTAGCGCCTGGCGCCCTCTAGTGGTGCAGGCGAGCCTTCCCTCTGCAGCTGGCCAGTGCGGCTGGGACAGAGCAGGGCCTCCAGGACCAACTTCCCTTGGGGCCTGCTGCGCAGGGAGCCGCCTGCTGCCTTCAGAGCTCGTCTCTGAGACGCCTGGGAGGGAACCCGGAAGGAGGACTTGGACTCCGGAGGCTGGGGTCCTGACCCAGCTCCCCTAGTTGCTTAGCTGCTCACACACCCGCCCCCCTGCCTGCAGTGTGTGGGCTGCAGAAAGGGGGGCGGGGGGGGGGGGGTAAGAGGGGGCTGTGGACAGCAGGGGAGTGCAGTCAGGCTCTCCAGCGCCCCTATAGCGCTACTTAGCAACGGTTACCTAGGGACATGGATGAAGCCTGGTGAGTTTGTGCTCCCGTGTGGCCAATGGGGAGCAGTGGAGACACTTTAACCTTCTACCTATGGAGATGATATCTACGTATGGCAACCGGCAATCTAAAGTAAAATAAAGAATCAAGTGGGAAGCCAGCCGCAATCCCACTGCCCCAAAGTAACTACTGCGCGCAGTGGGGACAGAGCTTTGGGGTGCTGAGAGGAGCGAGTTATGAAATGGGGACTGAGGCCTGCTCCAGGGGGAGGAGGCTGGGGAGGGGCAGGGGGGTCAGCCCCTCCCTCTTACCCCTCTCCTCCCGCTGCCTTTTCCTCTGCCTTCCCGTCTTTTCCTCATCTCTGCGCGTCCACATCTGTCCTCGGCCCCTGTGCAACTCAGGACAAGGCCAGGGTGTTGCTGACTAGGGTGCACGGAGGCCTCACGGGACACGTGGCACGAGGGAGGGAGCGTTCAGCGTGTGTTTATTCGAAACACTGCGCTACCCTCCAACAGCAGCCTTTCTCCTAAAATGCTTGCAGGGGGCGTTCAGCTGCTTTCCCGAGGCTCAGGCGTCTGGGGAGACACTGCACAGCTCTGGACCCTCTGCCCGGAGCCGGGCACACTGGGGCCGTGGACCTCCTCTGGGATGCCAGCCTCTGGCTCTGACTGCCAGCCCAGGGCCAGCCAGCCCACTGAGAAGGAGGGCGCTGGGAGGGCAGGCCCGAGGTCCAAGGAAGAGATACCAGAACTGTTTTCCAAGAGGGGACCCTTTCCCCGTCGCCCTGGAGGACAGGGGCCACAGCCACCTTCAGTCAAATCTGGCCCCGGCCAGACCTGGGCGAAGCTTCGAGGGGAAGGGCTCGTCTGAGCCCCATGTGCACACCAAGGCATCAGCCAGGGCCTGGCAGTTGGGAGGTTCTCAGTAAAGGTATGTGGGTGGGTTTAGGCCTGGAAGGGGGTGGCCTCCTGTCGCCTCGGGCAGCTTGCCAGCAGGCCTAGTGCCTTAGACCGTGCTCCACACAGACACAGGGCCTCGAGTCCCCTAGAACAGACTTACAACTAAGCAGAGCAAAAGCAGAAAAGCGGGGGTAATAAAAAATAAAACTTTATTAAAGCGGCTAAACTTGGCGGGACCGAATCATACTTCCTCAATGCAGCACAGCCACCCTGTGCGTTCCTGCTGCGGACAATTCCAAGCTGCTCGCGCTCATGCAAAGAGGATGCCCTTGTCGTGTGTTGCGCCCCTCACCTCGACGTGGCACCACACTGACGCTGCTCTGGGCTCCCATTGGGGGACCAAGTGGGAATGTGCGGGATTCACCTGGCTTCTAGCATCTACCGCCCCTGCCACCGAGGGCTGCTTGGTCTGAACAGATTTAAGGAGCTTTTACACCAGGATCTGAAGACGGCTGAGCCTGCCCTCACCCTGCCCGGCCCCTCGGGCGAGGGCCCCGTCACCAAGGGGCAGGGCTACCTTAGTCCTTCTTGCCTCCCGGGGCCGGGCTTCTGGTGAGGACCTTCCCGGAGCTGAAGGGGGTCAGCGTGGACACTGTCGGGGACTCCAGCTTCACTCTGTCCAGGAGGGTCTTCTTGAGGGCGGCTGGGGAGACCTTTTCCTGGTCGGCCATGGACTGCAGCTCTCTGGAGACGGCCCCGAGAGGGGAGGAGGAGGGAGGCATTAAACCCTTGAGCCAGACCGTCTCAAGGCTTCCCCACCCACATAATTCCCACCCTTGCTGACTGGATACCACCCCAAATAGAAGCCCAACACACCAAACACTCCCCCCGCCTTCTCAGACGTGCTCTTTTTCTTTCTTTTTTTGTTAATCCTCCCCCTAGGATATTTTTCTATTGATTTTTCAGAGAGTGGAAGGGAAGGGGAGACAGAGAGAAACATCAATGTGACGGAGACTCATCGAGTGGGTGTCTCCTGCAAGAGCCCCAACCAGGGCCGGGGAGGCGCCTGCAACCAAAGTACGTGCCCTTGACCAGAATCGAACCCGGAACCCTTCAGTCTGCAGGCTGACGCTCTATCCTCTGAGCCAAACTGGCGAGGGCTAGACGTGCTCTTTAACTAACGATGGGTTACTGCCTAGATGTAGGGCACCAATGTATCTGTGATCATAAGGGGAGAGAGACAGTGTGGACAGTCACAGGGCTTGAAGTCATGAACCTGAAGCTGAACCCTGTGTCCATCGCTTACTAGCCCTTCGGCATGTGGAGAACTGTCTGAGTCTCCACCTCCTCACCCACCAATCAAAGCTGATCCCGACAGTGGAACTGTGGGGAGAACTAAATGACGTAAGGCCTGCAAACCTTCGGCTACGAAGTGGTGGCTACGAACAGCACAGGTTCCAGCACGGCGAATGGGACCAAAGGCGACTGGTTCTGCCCAGCCCAGGGGCCGGCTGGGAAGGGGGGCCTGGGCGGAGGAGAGACACCCACCGTGTGCGGATGCAGGAGGCCTCCACGGCGTTGATGAGCAGGGAGCGGAAGCCCCCGCTCTCCAGGAAGTGCAGGGCATGGATGGTGGCGCCGCCGGGGGAGCAGACATTGTCCTTGAGCTGGCCTGGGTGCTGCTCCGAGTCCAACAGCATCTTGGCAGCGCCCTGGAGCACACGCGGGAAGTGAGAGGAACACACCTTCCCAGGCCTTTCGCCAGCTTCCCCACCACGCCCTGCCCCAACTCACTGACCCACAAGGCACCCTCCGCCCCCAGGCCACGCCCTGGCTCAGAACACGCAGAGGGAAGGTACTAACCAGCAAGGCCTGGGCCCCCAGCCGGATCGCCAGGCGCCGGGGGAGGCCCATCTTCACCCCACCGTCGGCAAGCGCGTCCAGGGCCATGAACGCCTGTGGAGACACTCGGTGAGTCTTGGGGCAGCAGGCACTCAAGGGCACCCCCGAGGGTCTGCTTTCCCCGATGACTGGAGCTAGAGCCCAGGACCAGTGTCCCCCACCAGCTCCCCAGAGGTGGAGGCACCCCCGGCCCCCGCTGCCTTCCAGCCCAGCCTGCTCCGCGTCCCCAGGAGGCTGAGGCAGTCTATGTGAGGGAGTGGGGGCTCACATAGGCGGGCCCGCTGCCGCTGAGCCCGGTGACGGCGTCGATCAGGTCCTCCTCCACCTCCGTGCAGAAGCCCACGCTGCTCATGAGCTGCTCCAGGAGCTGCCCGTCCTCCACCAGGGCGTGGGTGCCCGTGGCGTACACCGTGGCGCCCTCCCGCACCACCACGGGCGTGTTGGTCATACAGCGGATCACCTTGGGGGCCGGCTGGAAGGCCGCCAGCTTCTGCAGCGAGGAAGGGGGCGAGGGAGTTGCAGGCCACGGCTCCCGCGAGCAGCCCCGCTCCCCTCCCGCCTGGCAGGGGAGCTGAGCCCGGCACCTTCTCCACGGAGCTGATGGTGACGCCGGCGGCACAGGACACCACGATGTGCCTGGCCTGGACGTCGGCCCCGACCTCGTCCAGGATGAAGGGGATGATGTGCGGCTTCACAGCCAGAAACAGGACGTCGCTGTGCCTCACCGTCTCCTTGTTGCTCCGGGTCAGGTTCACCCCCAACTTCTGCGGGAGGAAACCGCCCGGCTCACGGTGTGGGTGCGGGCGGCCTCGCCGGGCACAGGCCCTCCCAGGGAGCAGCTGAACCCCTGCGGAGACCCCTCTGCCAGCCGCAGCCCGGAATGCCCTGCCTTGTCCCTCAGGGTCTGCCCCTAACCCCACTGGCACATGCTGCTACTGGGCAAGCCAGCACAGGTGCAGAGCCTGGACCCGCGTCTCCATGGCAACCAGGAACCGGCTGTCCCACATCCCCACCAGCGTCTGCCGGGCCTGGCACCCCTGTGCCAGGTAAGAAATCTCCAGGGCTGGGAAGTGACACAGGCCCTAACCCATCTGGCGTCTGCGTGGTCCAGGGCGGGCTGCAGGCACCCCTCCCTGCGGGACCCCGGTGCTGGGAGCATCAGCCATCCTCCGAACAGACCCTGCCTGTCATCTGCCTCCTTGGTCCTCCCCTCCCACACGGCCCAGGTGTGGGCTGAAGACTGAGAATGGTCTTTGCAGAGAGAGGAACAGCTACCATGCCTGGCTCCTTCCTGCCTCACTAACTCAGCAAAGTGGCTACTGCGCTCTCCATTTTTACAGGGGAAACTGAGGCTCAGCGTGCCTCAAGGACACGCAGACAGTCCATGAAGACAAACGCATATTTGCTGGGCACGTCCTACGAGCCAGATGCTTTCCATGGGCAAATATCTCAGTTAATCTAACCGCCCCAGTGCCTGCATTTGAATCCCCGTCTGTTCGCCTGGGGGGAGGCGGAGGATCCTGATGCTACAGATTGGGGGGGGAGGGGGAGAGGTAGTCAGCCGGCTGATGACCAGCTCGGGGGCTCCAGCGACTCAGGCCACCCTCCTGGGCCTCCCCCCTCGGCCCCGCACCCCTCGGCCGCACCTACCCTGAGCGCGGATACCGTGGGCAGGTCCATGTCCGGGGAGCTGGCGATGATCTTGTGAGCCGAAAGGATGCCTGCAGCAGACGGGGTTCTTCAGCTGGGGGGCCGTGGCCCACCCCGGCCCCGTGCTCCCCCCGGGAAAGCAGAACCCAAACCCACGAGGCTCCAGCAGCGCCGATCGCCCCGCTCGGCCCCCACGCCGGCAGCGCACCGGCCGCCGCGCCCCGCCCCCGCCGCCACGCGCTCACCCGCGGCCGTGAAGCCCCGCGCCAGGGCCCAGGCCAGCTGGCCCGCGCCGATGAAGCCCACGCTCATGGTCCCGGGCCCGGCGGCCGCAGGAATCGCCCCACGCGGGCGGGAGACGCCGTCAGGGGAGGCGGCGGGCGGAGAACCCAGCGGGCGGCGCCTCGGGAGCCGGATCCAGCCGCTTCCGCCCCGATCCCGCCACCCTCCGCGCGCACTCACGTGGCCACGCCCCGCTCCGCCCCGGCAGCCAATCCTCGGCCGGGAGCTCGGGGCGGGCCAATCCGCGGTCGGATCGCGGCTGTGCGCCCGCCTCCTCTGTAAAGGAGTAAATACTGGAAATGAACTGCGTGGACGCAGAGTGAAGCCACTTTTATTCCTGCGTATTATCTACATTCAGTGTTTTTTTTCCTAAATAATAATAATAAAACAACGTAAATGCGTGTGGTGCTAACTGGTGAGAAGTTCTGTAAAACGGGGGGAATAACTAAGTATGCGCGGGCAGGCGGAGTAGTGGGGGGCGGAGGAGAGGGGGAGGTTAGGGCTGCGGGCGATGACGTCACAGCTTGGGGCCCGGTTCTATCCAGAAACAGGTGTCCTGCTCCCCCGTGCAGCGCCCCTGGCCCGAAGTCCCTCCCCCTCCCTCCAAGCGCCCTGGCAGGGGAACCCGGGTATGTTTGCAAAAGTCCAAAATGATTCCATATTTGGGAGATGGGGTTCATTTTCAGACATCCTCCCTACCTAGGGTGAACAGAGGGGTCTTAGGGTTTGGTTTTAATTCATCATGTAATAGAATAAATGAGTTCTTTCCCCAGTTCTTATCGTAGGGTGTGTTGTCCCAAAGTCGGTTGAGAACTTGCCAGGGAACAGAAGCTCCCAGGCCACGGTCTGCCCAGGCTCAGCCACACCGGCTAGCCAGGAGCCAGGATTTCCTAGCCAGCAACAAGTGGCATTAGTTACTCATGTAAGTGCTTAGGGTGCCGGGCAGGAGGACAAGGAATGGGAGAACACGCCGAAAGGTAAAATAGGGGCCCTGTTTGGGGCAGGGGATGACTTGCTAAGTAGAAAACTAAAACCTACATTAGCACCTGCTTTGGTGCACGTGTGTAGTCAGGGGCCTCGGTGGCCATGCCCAGCGCCCTACGGCTCCAGCCGCCTTGGCACGGGCGCCCCGTCCGAGGCGCAGCTGCACTTCTGCACCCGCATGTTGGGCAGGCTGACCACCTGGGCGCGGGGCCTGCCGCCCTCCTTGATGCCGACGATCATGGGCAGCGAGGTGGTCTCCGAGGCGATGCACTGCCTCGGCCCCAGGAACGGCCACTTGAAGGTCAGGGTCTGCGGGGGCTGCTGGCAGGTGCCCACGCACTCATAGGCCAGGAAGCCCGGGGGCTCCAGCACCCAGTGCTCGGCCCACTTCATCCCCTGCAGGTCAATGTACATCTCCTGGCGGCAGCAGCGGGTGCCTTCGGTCACTGGGGCCTCGGGGTCACAGTTGCCCTGAGCTCTGTGGGGGGGCAAGGAGAGGCGGGTCAGAGGTCAGTTGGGAGGGCTGAGGTCAGGGGACCCAGGGTGGGGCCCAGTGGGGCATCTGGGAGGGAGACGTGCGATGCATCCCTCAGGATGTTAAAAAAGCTGCATGTGTGTGATAAATGGCGAATGAATAAACATCCAAAACATAAATGAGTTCCTGTTAAAGGTCTCCTAGTATGCCAGGCACTGAACGAGGGACTTCACATGTCATCTCAGCTGGCACCTGCATGTATCCTGACACATACACTCAATGCGGGTCCAGCATTATCCCTATGACCCTGAGGACGCGGGGACCCAAAGGTGTGAAGCGACATGCCAGAGGCTGTGAAGCCATGGCAGGCAGCGCTCCATGGAACGCAGGCTGTGTGATTCCGCAGGCCTGGGACTCCATGAAGAATCCAGGATGTCAGGGGAAAGCTGTTCAACTTAGCAGCAGTTCATGCTAATAGTTTTCAAAGACTTAATCATGGGTGCCTGGCTGGCTGTGGGTTAGTAGTTGAGTGTCCACCCAGGAACCAAAAGGTCACTGGTTCGATTCCCGGTCAGGGCACATACCCAGGTTGTGGGCTTGATCCCCAGTAGGGGGCGTGCAGGAGGCAGTTAATGGATGATGTTTCTTTCTCATCATTGATGTTCCTATCTCTCTCTCCCTCTCCTTTCCTCTCTCTCTAAAAATCAATAAAAACATATTTAACAAAAAAGAATTAATCATGGAAAAGGGTAAAATGAAATTAGACGACTGGAATAATGTGTGTCAATGACAACATTAAAAACCCACTGAAAATATCGGAAGATGTTTTTCAGTAAAATGTTTGAATAAAAAGTTCTGTTAGAAACGGACATGCAGTGGGGATGGCTGGCCTCCTGGGCTGTCTGCTCACCCACCCGGTGACCCCACTCCTCCCCCCGGACCTACCCGAAGTCCCCGAGGTCCAGGGTGTGCAGCTCCAGCTGGGGCTCGCCCTGCGCGCCATCCCAAGGCCCCTGGGAGGCAAAGCGGACCAGCCTGTGGGCGCTGGAGGCCAGCGGGCCCAGGTGCTCCCGCTGCACCGACACCTGCAGCAGCAGCGGCTCCTGGGGCCGGCTCAGCTGCTGCCAGAAGTTCACGGCCTCGGTCACGTCGAAGGCCTTCCAGCCGCTCTCGTGGATGGACACCAGCCTGCGACACCAGGCGGGACCCGGGCGCTGAGTGGTGGGGGCCAGGGAAGCCCCCCCCACCTCCTCCCATCCCTCTCCCCGAGATAGACACCCCTCGCCCCCCCCCCCCCGTCCTCCCCTTTTCCTCTACCCTCCCTCCCAGTACCCCGGGCAACCTCCGCACCTGGAGTCGATGAGGGAGGTGCGGTTGGAGCCATCGGCACGGACGTGCAGCCACTCGATGGTGACCCGGGCCAGGTCGCTGCGAGGGGACAGCCGCTCGTGCCTGCGGAGCGCGGCCTCGGGGACCGGCTCCTGGAAGAGGCGCAGCACGGCCTGCACCAGCTCGCTGTTGGGGGGCAGCCGCCGCTCCATGCTGAGCACCAGCAGGCGCGTGGAGGCGTCGGACACCAGGAACCTGCCGGCCACCTCTTGGGGACAACAGCAGCGTCAGCAGGGCCTCTCCAGCCAAGGGGGCAGCTCTGAGGGGGGCCCTATTCCCTCTCCCTGGTTACCCACAAATCCCCCTGGGGCCTGGGGTCCTTATAACAACCTCCACGGCAGGAAGGGACAGCCCTGGGGCCCTGAGCTGTGGGGTCAGCTAGACATTGAGGGTCAGAATCCTCACCTGGGGGCACTGGGCGAGGAGGGGGTGAGCGCAGGCCCACAGAGGCGGGGGCTGAGTAGGATTCAGGCCCCTGCATCCCTGACAGCGGAGTAACTGCACTTTACAGTATCTGCCAGGTCCCCCACCTCGTTCCCACCCACAGCGACGCACTGGCAAGGAGGGCAGACTCGCTCATGGGTGCAGAGACGCAAACGGGTTCAGTGATTTCAAGCCACTTGCTCAAGGTCAGGCCATCAGTGGCCGTGCGAAAACAGACCCCAAGGAACCCCGATGTTCCCCAGGCCTCTGAGCTGAGCCTAGGTTCTCCCACCCCCACCCCACCCCACCCCCACCTCTGCTTCCATCGGCTCAGCCTCATCCTTCCACCCTCCTCTCCTCTGACGCCTTGGCTTTGGCAGGGTCCAGCCTGGCCCGCGGGGTGGGGACCTCAGTGCAGAGACCTGCCCTCCTTACAGGCCATGGTCCCCCTCACTGCCCTGTGACCCTGGGCCTGCTTTGTAACCATCTCCATTAACAGGAAGGGGCAGCCCTGGCACCCTGAGCTAACTAACTGGCCAGCTGAGATGTTGAGGGTCAGGATTCCCACCTTGGGGTACTGGGGTCTGTCTGTGGGCACCGAGCGGGAGAGCCCCAGGCCCAGAGAGAGGCCCCAGACAGCCTTCCCAGATGGGCACATCCAATCTTAGCACATGCACACGTACACACACACGCACACACACATGCACACGCACACGCACATGTACACATACACGCACACGGTCCAGGGTGCAGGGAGGGCCTCACCTCGGAAGTTCTGGCTGAACCTCTTCCCACGGGAGGGGACGCCGTGGCTGCGCTGCAGCAGGGCCACGTACTGGGCCCGCACGTGGGCAGGGGTGACCAGCCGCTCCGCGTCGCTCTGGTCCAGCACTGGCACCTCCCGGAGCTGCAGCTGCTGCAGCAGGCTGCCCAGGATCTGCTCCTCGGTCACGGCCGCCCCGGGGCGGGCCAGGGCCAGCGCCCACAGTGCCCAGCACAGCCACAGGGCCCTCATGGTGCCACTTGGGAGGAGCAGCAGAGCAGATGTGGCCCCTGAGGAGGCTCCAGGAGGGTCCCAGCTGGGCGTGCTCAGGGCCAGGCTGGGCCAGCTTTATAGCAGCCCTGGGCTGGGCCTGGGTGGTGACAGGGGGGGAGAGAGGGAGGGAGGGAGGCAGGTCACACCCCTCGCCCTCCTGGGAGCTCATCAGCCAGACAGGTCCCTGGGCCTGAGGAGGGGCTGTCTAGAAAGGGCACAAAGGCCGTCTGTACCCCGGCTTGGGCCTCTGGCCGCTGCTGTCTGGCGGCTCAGTGATAACTTTAGTGCCTGCTGAATTCCGCTGGCCCTGGCCCAGTCCTCGTCCATGGAAAAGCCGGTCTACACTGTGAAAGGCGAGGCCCTCAAGCCAGCCCAGCCACTTAAGTCTCTTTCCTGGAGACCAGCCTGGGTGTCGGGGTGCTCCCTGGGAGGGACGCAGGGAACACACCTGCATCCCTGCCCACTCTGGCCAGGCCCATGCAGGACATCACACAGAAGCCAACGTCTCTCCCTCCATCTCCAGTCCCCTCAAACGCCTCCTCACCGCCTCAGGGGTCCTTGTCCCCCCTGGGACAGGAGGAGGCGCAATGCTGTTGGGACAGGGATCTGGCAGCTCGGCTCCTTGGAAGTGCCAGGGACCGAGATTTCGGCAGTGTCTTTGCAGGCACGGCATCTTCCAGGTAGAGCATTATGCAGGGAGCCTGGCTGCGGGCCCCACCACCCACACTTAGTTTGAGCCCATGTCACGCCCAGACAGCGGTCAAGGGACAGGAACCTGGAAAGCAGAGGCCAGAGCTGCCCAGAGTCCTGTCCTGTCCAGAGTCGCGGGTATTGGACACACGGGGTGGGCGGGAGCCCCCTGTGCCTCCTCAAACACACAGTTTTTTAACCAATGTTTGCTTTTATATATTTTTTTAATTAATTTCAGAGAGGAAGGAAGAGGGAGACAGAGATAGAAACATCAGTGATGAGAGAGAATCATGGATCGGCTGCCTCCTGCACGCCCCACACTGGGGATCGAGCCTGCAACCCGGGCCTGTGCCCTGACTGGGAACCGAACCATGGCCTCCTGGTTCATGGGTCAATGCTCAACCACTGAGCCACGCCGGCCGGGCTCAAACACACATCTTAGACTGGCTGGGTTCAGATAGGCTGCTTGCTGGCTGTTCGATCTGCCAGCAAGTTCCTTAACTGCTCATGGCTTCGGTGTGCTCCTCTGAAGGAGGGCGATGGTCATGGGGCTGCTGCAGAGGGCTAGTGGGAAGAGTAAATGGATCAGCACGTGTAGGACTCCGAGCCCAGTGCCTGGGGCATAGTAAGCCCATATAAGCGCTCACCGTCGTCATTACTGCCCGGCCACTGCATTCTCTGGGTGACACCCAGGGCAGCCCGCTGTGTGCCAGGCACCGTTCTAGGCTCTGGACATGGATTCACAGCAGCCCTGGGAGGCAGGTGTCAGCACCCGCCCTGAACTTGATCTTCCTCCGGATGCAAAGTCAGAAGAGCACCCGGCGAACCTGCCACAACTCACTGAGCAGGTGGAGGGCTCGGCAGGTCACCTGTGCCCCGGGGTCCCTCCTGGCCCAGGGGATGTGCAGACGTGCAGGAAGAATTCCTTCCCCCGGCCCGTGTTCCGTCACATGGGAGGCGAGCGATGATGGTGAAGGAGGACAGGGTGCGGGCGAGGGCCTAGGGGCCCGGGAGGCGGGAGCACCCCTGCTTCCCCTTCCCATTAGGTGTCCTGTGTCACCCCCCTGCCACTGTGCTCCCCACACATCCCAGGCACAGGCAGAGAGAACCTTCGGGTGCTCAAGGGCCGGGTCTCCCCCGCATGCGCCCAGGGACGTCAGACACAAACTGCCCCCATGTGCACATGTGCAAGTACATTGAGGGGTTTTAGTAGTGAGGTGTGGGGGGGAGGGAGGGAGGGGCTTAGAAACTGCGGACGGGGAGGAATAATATTAACACCGATAAGAGTCATCGTGGCTAACAGTGCTTACAGTTCTGAGCGTTTTACATCCTTTAACTCTTTATCCTCACCGCTTGCCATTCTTGTACCCATTTCCCAGATGAAGAAACTGAGGCACAGAACCTTACCTGACTCGCCCAGGGTCACACAGCTGGGAGGCGCCAGAGCTAGGGCTGTTCGGAGCGGAGGAAACGGGTCCTGTCGAATACCAGGGACAAGGTAAGGGGAATGTTGACAGCTGAGCCCAAGAGGGGATCCTCAGGGGAGACAGAATCGTGACCTCCCCTGCCCCCCTGCCCTTTCCTCTCCCTCCTCTGTTGCCTGGGAATCTGTGTGACTCACAAGGAGGAATTCAGAGCCCATCGTGGGGATGGGCACGTATCTCAGAGTCTGCCCGTTCCGGAACTCTGGGTGCGCCTACACAGGCCCTCCTGCTCGCTCTGTGACAAGTGGAGCCTTCTTCAAAAGGCGGCTGTTGCTTTTCTTTGCAAGTGATGATTAGCAGGGAGAGGACTTACTGGATGCAAACATTTGGGCCTCAAGTCAGGCCAAAAGGTGCAGAAGTGTCCCACTGACAGGCGACCCGGGCCTGGGAGCTGTCCCCGGGCTGGTGTTCCATAAATATGCAAAGCCCGCCACCCCTGGCGCTGCGGGAGAGGAAGCCCTGTGGCTTATCACTGGCCAGGGTGGTGCCGAGGATATAACACCCAGGCTGCCCTCTGCAAGCCATGGCCCCTCGACAGGCCCCAGCGGCTGGACCCCTGCGAGCTCCTGGGGCTGGGAGCCTGGGAGGCTCCGCACTGGCTCCGGCAGGGACCTGCCGTCACCAGGCTGAGGGAGGCCGGGCCCTGGGACTGCTGCCCCCCAACCAGCATGTGCCCCCACGAGGCTCCCTCCCACCGAGGAGATGCCCGGGGCTGAGGACCCATGGGAGTCCCCAGTGGCCAGGAGCCCCTCTGCACTGGGGGTAACGGACCCCCAGCACAAGGTCAAGGGGAAGGTCCCTCCTCCACTGGAGTCTCTGGCCCCCCTAACCCTTGCCCCCCATCACCCCCCGTCACCCCTCCATTTCTCTCGGACGCTCCCGGGCTGGCCTCCCAGCACGGAGCCCCTCCAGAGCCGTGTCCTCAGTGGGGACTGGAACTGCCCAGCCAACTCCCAGCGCCTAACTGAGGACAGTCCCGTCTGCCGCTGGCCTCTGGTCCCCGTGCTCAGGAGGTCCCAGGGGCCCTGAGAGCCTGGGCAAGCGGCCCAGCATTGGGAAACTGAGAGCCCTTCCCAGTCTTGGGGACCTCACTTAATGGGGGGGGAGCCTGGGAGCACTCAGCACCCCAGAGGGTTTGCCCAGCAGGTGTCAGACCCTCCCCCTTCTCCCTGTGAATTTAGGGGAACCAGAGGGAAATGGTGCTACAGCAGGTCATCCAATAACGTGGTTCGGTTGGCTGCCATCTCATTGTAACGCTGATGGGAGAAATCACTTCCTGCTCTGGCCGGTTAGCTCAGTGGATAGAGCGTTGCCTGCAGACTGAAGGGTCCCAGGTTGCGGGCTGGATCCCCAGTGGGGGGCGTGCAGGAGGCAGCCGATCCATGGTTCTCTCTCATCATGGATGTTTCTCTCTCTCTCTCCCTCTCCCTTCCTCGCTAAAATCAATAAAATAAAATACAACAATTTTACAGAAGTGTTTGGGGTCTTTATTTAGAAGGTTGGGGATGTTTTTGTGACCGGAACGCCGCAGGAATTTAACTTGTCTCTACGGATGAGCCTGTGGGAACATTGGTTTCCTTCTACGCCGTTCCCCTTCTCTGAGAAGCGATCCACCACTGTAGGTGAGGACTTACTGCACAGATGATCCGATTCTTTGTAGAATCAGAGCTGAAATGGACTATCAGGCCATTGTCCTGCCCCCAGCGCTTAGAGCTAAGACGGAGGCTGAGATGGGCGATGTCCCCGAGCTCACGCAGTGGATGGGTCTGCAGAAAGCCGAGTCTCCCGATTCCCAGCCCCAAATTCCTTCCACACCCCGAGCTATTGCCAGCGCACAGTCACCCCGACCCCCCCAGAAGCTGGCGGGAGGCAGCCCGCAGCGCCAGGTGAGCTGGGGACCAGCCAGGCCGGGCAGGGCCGGGCAGGGCAGGGCAGGGGAGGCGCGAGAAGCAGACAGACACGACAAATCTCCAGACCCCTGTGGCTTCCCGGACACAGGCTCCCGCCCCGAATGTGGATTCCAGGCGGCTTGACGTTTTGCTGGGGGAAATAAAATAATTGGGCAATTAGCTAGTGGCCAAAGGAAGGCCAGGAGTGTGGATTGGGGCACTTTTTCCGAGGGGCTCAGTCCTCAGTCCTCGGGAGGAGGCAGCTGCCCTTTGTCATGCAGAGGAGGGAGCCGGCCTCCCCTCTGAGTGTGGATCTGGGTGGAGAGTCTGGACGGTCAGTTGTGGGGTCAGGATGGGCTTGAAAAGCAGAAAAACCATAAAACAGCCTCTTCTGACCTGACCTCGGAGGGGGGAGGGGAGGCTACTTATAAAGCTGCCCAAACCAGACCTCCTCCCCACAGGCTCCCCACGGTGGGCGGAGCCCGTGCTGGTTACAAACCCAACAAACCCATATTGTTAGGGATTTTTAATGTGAAGACTTCTCCCCCAGAGATATTTTTAAATACATTTTTATTGATTTCAGAGAGGAAAGGAGAGGGAGAGAGAGACAGAAACGTCAGTGATGAGAGAGACTCATGGATCGGCGGCCTCCTGCACGCCCCACCCTGGGGATCGAGCCTGGAACCCGGGCATGTGCCCTTGATGGGAACTGAACCTGGGACCTTTCAGTGCACAGGCCGACGCTCTATCCACTGAGCCAAACCGGCTAGGGCTCCCCTGGAGATTTTACCTTGCCGATGCCCTGAGTGAAACTGCAGGAGGCTCGAAATTGTAGGACTGAGGATGCTTAAAGCAGGCCTCCTCCAGGTCACGGGTCGATTCCCGGTCAGGGCACAGGCCCAGGTTGCGGGCTGGATCCCCAGTGCGGGGCGTGCAGGTGGCAGCCGATCCATGATGCTCTCCCAACATTGATGTTTCTATCTCTCTTCCTCTCCCTTCCTCTCTGAAATCAATAAAAATATATTTTATTAAAAACAAAACCAGGTCTCCTCCAACCCCGAGGGCCTGGCGACCACCCAGCCTTCCAGCCGGCCC